AATGCTTCTGGACCGGTTTAAAATCTGAACTGAATTCTGATTCTAAAACATAATTTTAAACAGAGAAGATTTGCCATTCCAGGCTCGCCAAATCACACATCAATTGTATTCTCCCCCTTCACACTCCACGTATTATTCTCCCTCCAGACTAAATAAACCCTTTCGAATGCACCCAAATAGTTAGCTGCCCACGTCCCCATCACCACCGTCACTGAGCAGGCGTTTTGACAGCACAAATCTTCCACAATACCAACTCCTGAACCCTCAAAGTGACAAAAGCCAACTAACCCAGACATGTTTGGCAGGAAGTGAGGTGGTCCCAGCCCGAGGGGTAAGTCCGTAGGGCTTAGGGGGCCAATAGAGCTCATTGTATCCCATTGTGGAGTGAGGGATTTGGGGCTGAAAACTGACCAGTCTGCTGGAAGGTGATTGGGCTGGAAGCTACAAGGGCAAGGGCAAAAAAACCAACCCAGGCGGAGGTGCAGACGGGAGCTATGGAAGTTTGACTGGGAGATAAGGATGGTCGTAAGGAAAATAAACCTGAACTTTGAATTCAAACAGAGGTGGATAGAGTAGCTGAAAATTGTACGTTACCTCAAAATAATAGCAGAAGAAGTACAAAGTATGTCCAAGAAATGGCTCAAGTAAAACTAAAAAAATATTTGGAAAATACAACTCAAGTAACACATCCAGAGTTGTGCTTTGTTTCATTTACACATGTTTAACACCCAAACCCTGTAGTTCTTCTCTCCAACACTCTGTTCCACCTTATGATGTCATGTGGTAATACAGCAAGTGCTCTGTGTTTTTAAACTCCATACACCTTCACTAGAACCATTTGGATAATTTCAGCCCTGATATTGCCAGTCTCTATTGAACTAAAGGTAAAATGTAGCTGTTAATTTGAAAACTTCATGACATCACAAGGTGGAACAGAGCATTTTGAGCTTTGGAGATGTAGACAGATTAATAATAAAAGATCACTCATACATGTGTAAATGAAACATAACGCCAGGTATATTTCTGATGAGGGAACAAAATTACAAGAGTCAAATTTGCATAATATAGCACCTTTAATCTAAAGAACAAAACATTAAAAATAATGCACAAAATTTATGTCTACTGGTATTTCTATATAGTAGACACAAAAATTAGAAAAAATCTACTTTCTTAGCTCCCATTGGGCACTGCATTTTTCTAACCTGGAAGTCATCAGATTTATTTCTTCAAGTAAGTAATTTAGATTGATTTTGGTATTTAAAATGTTCAAATTATAACATAATGATCCACGGGCGTCACAGATTATAACTATATAGCATATTGCAATTGGAAAAGGTAAAAGCGAGCCTAAAATGATTGGCAACAGCTCAAAAAATCAATGTTCAGATAGAAGAAAGAGCAGAAAAATGTGTTTCACATGTAAGGTGTAATATTGTAACTGAAGAACGGAGAAGAGGTTTTTCTTAAAAGTGAAGTCACATTTTGAAGGCGTGAGAGAAAGTGGATGGTGCATAGTTTCCTCAGGTAAAAACAGGTGTGACGCAGACAGACAGCCCTCTCATTAGTGTACTGCCCCTGTGCCCTCGAGCAAAGCAGCCATTCCAGACACAACGCCAACAAGCAGCATTTAAAACTGAAATTTGTCTCTAAAATTACAACAAGACAGACAAGTTCAGGAAAAGGTCAGTTGTTGTGTATCCATTGTAATGGAGTTAATAGTTTTTGTTTTTTGTTTTTTTCAGTTTTTACAGTTTTTGTGATTGGTTATCAGTCTTAATGGTACATTATTTTATGTTTGAGTCGCAATCAAATCAAGATAATCAAAGACAAATCCAGAAATCCAGGAATAATTGGATTTACTCAAAATTACACCAATATCAAGTAATCTGGGGATTAGCTAGGACTAAACCAGGACTAAACGAGAACTAAACCAGGACTGATCTCGGTGATCTCAGACTAAATCATAGCTAAACCAGGACTAAACGAGAACTAAACCAGGACTGACTCCAGTGATCCCGGACTAATCAGAGCAAAATCAGGACTTGGCCAAGGCCTATATCAAAATCAAGTGTAATCTGGGACTAAACCAGTGTGAAACCTAGGACTAAACCAGGACTAATTCAGGACTAAACCAAGTCTAAACTAGTACCAAACCAGGACTGAACCAGGATTTATCCATGGGCTATACCAAAATCAAGTGTAATCTGGGACTAAACCAGATCAAAACCCAGACTAAACCAGATCCAAACAAGGACCAAACAGGACTAAATCAGGACTAAACCAGAGATAAACCAACCAGGACTAATGAAAAATCAATCTTTTTTAGACAATATAATGTATATTGAACACACGATATTCATATTTTCTTCAAGGTTACAGTGTGATTCTATACTAGTACAGATCAATTTAAAATCAGGAAAGTTTAAATTATGTCTGCTGTAAGTGTGCTGCTAGACAAATACCCTGAAAAGTACAGTTACAATCAAAAGTTCCTCAAGTAAATGTAACTGAGTAAATGTACCTATGTACTGCGCACCTCTGTACATATGTGATGGGCTGCTTCCAGGTCTCCAGGCTGAGACTTGTGTTACTAGTCTATAAAACTCTCCAATAAAAGTCTTGTAAATGTAAAGTGTCCATGTGCAGCCTGCTTTACATCCACTCTTATCTTTATGACTTTTCTTAATGGATTCACAGCTTAAACACAGACCACAGAACAATAACATTTGGGGGATGATAGTTGATAGCTAAACAAAGCCTAAACCTTGGCTAAAATGTATGATAAACAATCTATAGTAAAAATATAAACAAGTAAAACTGAACTGCAAAAATGAATTAAAATCAGAGTACTTTTCAAGCAGCACATTTTTTGTATTCTCTTTCCACTGTGAATAAGTCATGTTTTGCATGTTTTAATGTTTGTCTTTCAGATTACATTAGCTTCAAATAATACTTGCAATTGCTGTTGGTGAATGTTTATTCTTTTGCCTTAAAGACTTATCAGTAACACACATTCTCTTAAACATAGTTAACATCATTAGATTTTTAATTTTTACTAAAGAAGCCTAGTCTTCTAATTTTATAATTTGGTGAAGTTTATAATTGTACTTCCTGGATACGGGCAGCAGATATGACATACGTAGAGGAATGTTACCTAGCAAACATAATATTAACAATGGCTAAAACACAGTTAGGACAGTTATGATTTGACAAATATAAGTAAATGGCAACAACTTTATTTTGTTAAATCAGTGTTTAAATGGTCAGAATGATTACTTCCATGGCATAAAGTTTCTTTCCATTTTGGATGGAGCTGATGACAGTTGATGCTATAAAAAGCTTTTAGAACTCACTGCTACATTTTTTTTGTTTTCTAAATTTCTGCCACTGACAGTTATGATGATTATTTAACTCAGATTCTATCCCACCAAACCAAATAACAATAAGTATAAGTAGTATAAGTATAATTCAACTATATCTGTCAAATTCACTTATTTACAGTAGAACCAGTCTAAACCACTGAATTGATGTGAGTCTACTGCCATCTAGTGGGTTAAAGATGAAAAGCCTATTAAGCCTATTTATTTGAAACTGAAATATAAATTAACCATACAGCTCATATTAAATTTGATACTTAAAACCAAAACCTCTGGACTACAGCAGAACAGAACTAGGACCAAACCAGGACTAAAAAAGGTCTAAATCTTTGATCATGCGAAAACTGAAAACATCACTACTTGTAATGTGCTCAGTGTAACTTTTTTCAAGGAAGGGGTCCACTACATGCTTGTCTCCATGGAGATGATTTGACAGAAACCTTCCACAGTATGGCATTAAACTTTCCTTTTTAGCATTTCTGTTTTTATTGCTAAACAAAGCACAAGCTTTGAAAAACAAGCATTAATGTGAGAGGATCGCCTCTATACAGATATGACCTGTAACTTGTTTTCATGGAAATATATAGGTTTAATGCCATACTGTGGACCAATCTTCGCAAAGCTATAACAGCTATGGAGACAAACAGAGACGTTACATAGTGTATTTTTAACTTGAGCTTATTCAAAGCTATCTGTGCATGTCTGTTTAACCAGTGGAAGGAAGTAATTACCTAATTGTCTTAAAAGCATTTAAAACCAATTTCTAAACGTCTGTTTACATTTGAAAAGTCTGCTATGGCATGTTTTGTATTGGGACCACCTCAGAGCTGAACAAGTCAAAACCTGCAAAACTGCTGCACAACACATCTGCACAGGGACAAGCAAAAGAGACACTCCATCTCCAAAGCACAGAACACGGGGCTTCTTGTGGAAAATATAGATTAGAGGTTTTCCACCCTGTTAACTATATTACAAAGTGGCTTTATAATTATTACAAAAACTTCTTATACAGACACAGAGAGAACCTGGAGGTTTCTGATTGCAAGCCAAACTTGCTCTGTAAATTAGGGCTGGTTATAATAATAAAAAAAAACAACTCATATAATAACCCTCATATTATTCAATCTTGATTTTAGTTTTTTTTTTAAACAAAATAAAAATGTCTCTTAGTGCTGATTTCATAAACGATACAGGCAGCACTAATCTGTGCTATTTCACACAAGCAGTTGTCAAATTTCTCTCTCCAGAGTCTGAACGCTCCAAACCTCATTTCATCAACTGATTCAAAAACTGGTACTGTATCAATGATGATTAAACACAATTGATTCATGATCTTTTGAACTTTCACTTAATTGCCCAGTCTTACTGTACATACACTATACTATGAGATTTGAGTTCTACTGGGGGATGGCCACCTGCTTGTACCCATGGAAAACAAAACTCAAGTTATAAGGCATCAGAATGGAAAGATTCACTACACACACATTTTCCTTTGTGTAGATTTTATTTCTTCCCTGTGAAATAAAATTACATAATGTTGTTTTTCAGTCAAATATAAGACCAAAAAGAGTATAGGGTGAAATGTATTCCATTATATTGGCTCTTTTGTCTGTATGGTTTCAGGGTCGTCCTGGACCCCTGGGTGAGGTGGGTCCCAGTGGAGCTGAGGGGCCTCGGGGAGGACCCGGGCACATGGGGCCCAAAGGAGAGAAGGGCCACATCGGACTGAAGGGGCCATCCGGACCCAAGGGAGACAAGGTCAGCGTATACTACTGTTTTATTTAAAGATGTGCTAGAACTACATGAGATATGTGCTGTCAGTGGTGTATGTATTTGATTGTGTGTATAACGCTTGGAATAATCCTGGAACAACTGTGGAAATGATGGGATGGTATATTCCCCAGATATAGGTAGTGCGTGGATGTGTATGTAAATGTGATTTGTAAACTTCACTATATCTTAACATAAATTTGTCCTGTACCATAGATTTTACTGTAAAAGCTTAATATTGGTATCTGCAAATATCAGTCATCGACCACAGGGGCAAAGGCAACTAACTACCAGATATTGGTATCGGTTCAAAAATCCACATTGGATCTTCCTCGGTAAATGTGATCACAGTCAAGTCAGCTCTCACTGAGCCCATGGAACATATCGATTTACTCCAGCATCAAACAAAACCATCAGACAGAGAAATAACAGTGTTTTAACATCTTACTGTATCTTTAAGGAGACTGTAATTCACATAATACATTTGATTGAACTTACATTTGTGAACTCTTGGTCTATATGTTTTTTATGAAATAAACTAGTAAAAGAGCATCTTGCTGCAATGCCAAGTATTGAACACTAGATGGTGCTAAAGAATCAGCTCAACAAACCATGTAAACTGGGGTTTTTACACAATGGCCAGTCAACTAAAGCATATTTTATGTATTTTAATGTTTCAATTATTTTTTTATCACATAAGAAAGAAAATCAGAACTTTTCATTTCAATAAAAATGTAAGTCATATTTGTACTGTCATCTTTGCCCACTAAGTGATGCTCTTGTATTCAGTGACCAATTAACACATTTTTGGTTTATGCAGGGGCCTATGGGTGTGCCCGGCTTCTCAGGAAATGATGGTGTGCCTGTAAGTAGCACATTCAACATTTTGGTGTTATTTTGACACAAATATATTCCCTAAACAATAATCTAATATGACACCCCCCCCTTTCCCCCTCACAGGGCCACCCCGGCGCTGATGGTCCAAGGGGTCCCCCGGGTCTTGATGGCTGTAATGGGACGAGAGGCGAGCCTGGGGACCCCGGCTATGGCATTGGACCACCTGGAAATCCTGGACCTGCTGTAAGTCCACGTAGCAGGGGGACCTAGTTTGGTACCAATTAGTCCATATTTAGACCCTTTAATTGTTGTGTTTCAGATGACAGCGCAACAGTCTATAGCCCAATAATATGTAATGCAGATGTGGGCAGGCACAATTAATATTGTTAAAATACAGGTCCAAAATTAGTAAATTTACCTCTTGGATATTTCATGGTAAAGTACAATGTAATCAATCAAGGGAGAAATACCATTAAAATGGAAACAAAACTAAATTCCAGAATGGAGGCAATATCACAAAAAAGGGCTGGACAATATGGCCAAAAAATAAGTCTTTACTTTTTTTAGTAAACTTTTTTCATAATACTCCTCAGTTTCACGATTTAGCAATTTTTCAAAATCTCGATAAAAAAAAATATGAATGAGTTTAGGTTGAGTCATACAAATGTTAATAATACTTTCTCAAACAGGGAATAGTTGGACCAAAAGGACAGAAAGGAGAGCCTGTTTACATCTCTGACAATGGTGGCACGGTAATAAAGATGGATTTAATTATTTTATTATGTTAATTATTATTTTCATTTCTATTCCTTATTTCTTTTTTTCCCAGAGTTTACCAGGATTTCCAGGATCCAATGGCCCACCTGTGAGATTTTAATACTTAATTTTAATTCAATTCAAAATATTCACACACAGTTCGACTGATCTGGTGATGTTAACTTGTCATATATATATATATATATATATATATATATATATATATATATATATATATATATATATTTTTTTTTTTTTTTTTTTTTTTCACTTAAGACAAGTGTATGGATGTGAATTATGTCATATTGGCTTGTATTTTTAGTATTTAAAATTACTGATTGATCAATTAAAATTTATATATGATAATGACCACTATATAACTACTACTACTGTTACTACTACTAAAATCAATGCCTATACCATGGATCAATAAAGTTTGTCTAAGTCTAAGTATATTACTTCCAATACCACTCCAAGACTACTGACCACCAAACAATACTAGAGTGTTTTGTTATTTTATCCTGCCAAGCGATGTAACTATAAATATGACACATATACTAATAATAATGAGAATTGTTCTTTGTTCAGGGAGTACGCGGCCCCGATGGTGGACCTGGAGCTCCTGGACCAATTGGACCCAATGGATATCCTGTAAGATACAAACAAATATTGAAAATAACTAGCAAATAAAAATGATTTTGCTAAATATCTGCTGTGCTTTTAGGGCCTGCCTGGTCCTCCCGGTCCTCCAGGGCCCATGGTAAGATCAAAATGAAACTCTGTCAATATGCATATATAAAGGGACTCAAGGCTTCTAGAATAATTCTATGGAGCATTCACCATGGATTTAGGTTTTATGCCATACTGTTGAATATTATAACCAAAAGTACAACATTTCCATTGAAGAATGCAGGAGGAAGCCTTTGTCCAGGCCAACTAACTGTTTTCCCTAAGACCACAGAGTGCCTTGAACTTTAATAAGAATATTCAACATTCAAATTTCTTACCCAAAAGACAAGCTTTTTTTCACATAAATACCATCATTTAAAAATGTTATTTAGCAATACAGTGTATTATATTTATATATGCTTGCACCCACACTGTACCTCATCCCTTTTATTCTTCATATGAAGTTCAATGATGCTGAAAAAGAAACCAGTGTTTAATTTACCATTTTTTTTGTTTTAGGGAAGTCATGGTGAAGGATATTGGGGAGAAAAGGGAGACAAGGTATGCGCTGTTTAAAAAAAAACTAAAAACTCAAATTCTGTTGTTTTCCATTCTCTGAGTAAGTCTATAATATCTCATCCTGTGTTTCTCAAGGGTGACGTTGGTCTTCCTGGTCCGAGTGGCTCCACTGGAGATGAACCTTTAGTCAGCGAACAGACCCTCACCATTTACAAAGGAGACAGGGTAACCATGGAAACACTTGACAAATTATTCACAAAATACTTACAGTGCCTATGGCAGGTTGGGCAAAAAACCCAAACACCAAAACAGTTAAGATCATTATATTAATGATTTTACTAAAGATTTTACTTTTCTTTTCCCAATTTGGCCATTTTTTACTTCCTGGCTGGAAATATTGACATCACCTAGCAACTAAAATATAATTGGGCCACAACTCTGCTCTTAAGTACATAGAAATTATAATTTGATTTGAGTCATAAAACACAAAGAAACACCTTTATTTGGTTGAAATTATGATTAAAGTAACTGAAAAATGTATTTCTTGCGTAAATTGTACCAAATTTTTGGATAGAATTCTTCGTAGTGTGATGTTATCAATATGTGTACTTCCTGTAATTATCAACATATTTTAAAAACTTTTCTTCACAAATTTGCTTCTTGATTCATGTAAAAGTGTCATGTATATTTACATCTGTCATATGCACTTTAAAACTGTTCAAAAGTCTGATGGTGTTTTTTATTTCTCAAAGGGTGACCCAGGTCCAAAGGGAATTCGTGGATTCCCTGGTACCCCGGGGCGACCTGTAAGTGTTTTCAATCCAGATTTTAATATTTGATCTCAGGAGTAAACCGTATAATTAAACAGTATATTTCTCTATTTAGTAAGCCACGTAAATAATGTCATATATCAATATCATAATGTATATTGAAATATTATGAGACTGTCTGACTGCTCTCTTTAGACCATACAAACAAAATAATAAAAAGAATTGTACAGGTCTATTTAAGGGGTGCATTTATGACTATAAATGAGAGCTATTTCAATAATAATAATAGCTAGTTCAATAACTGCTGTGTTAGATTTAGTGTAAAATGGTATACAAAAGGCTTCACCAACATTGCTCTGCTAAGTATGTAATATACTGAGCCAATATTAAACGACTAGACTAGTATCAGCAGAGCAATTACATAAGGACTAAACCAGGACCAAATAATGGCTAAAACTAGTTAAGAATAAAGTCAGATTTAAACTAGTAATAACTCAACCAGTAAACAGGATAAAATGTTTTGATTTTTAGAAGATCGTTTTTAGGGTCTTATCTGGATCTGAACAGGCCAGCTACAAATGTCTCTCACCAAATTCTTACCAAATGCAGTAGTGGCACCAGAGGCCAGTTTTGCATGTTCTTGAAATGTTTTCCATTTGTGGGAAGTGATTAAAATTTCATTAGTAAAATCTGAACAATGTCAACAGTGTCATAACTATACATACAAGAAATAAATGAAAAGGAATAGAAAGAACAGTTCTCTTATGTTATCTTCCCATTTTACATTAACACTAATAGTTACTGTAAAACATTTCAGTACATTATACAATACAATATTTCATTTCAGTCACATATTAATCCATTGCAAAATGCAAATAGATATCTGCACTTTTTTAGGCACAACAACAGCTTTATTTTTTCACAAAAATATTCTTTTCAGTTGTAGTGTGGACAATTTGCAGATGTAAACAATTGTGAGATCTTGTATCAAAGGTCCCTACAGACGTGTTCAAAATTGTTGGTACCCCTGTTGTAATCAGAGAAAAATCAACAATGGTCATTGAAATAACTTGAAACTGATAAAAGCAATAATGAATTAAAAAATTACTGAAAATGGTCCTACGAAAATCAAACATTGCTTTTCACCTGTGGTTCAACAGAATCATTAGAAAAAACTAAATAATGAAACTAGCCTGGACAAAAATGGTGGTACCCTAAACTTAATATTTTGTTGCACAACCTTTTGAGGCAAACTCTGCAATCAAACGATTTCTGTAACTGTCAGTAAGACTTCTGCACTGGTATTTTGACCCTCTTCACGTGAGCAAACTGCTCTAGTTGTCTCAGGTTTGAAAGGTGCCTTCTCCAGACAGCATGTGCAGCTCATTTCACAGATGTTCAGTAGGATTGAGATCTGGGCTCACAGAAGAACACTCCAGAACAGTCCAATGTTTTGTTTTTAGCCATTCTTGTGTGTTTTTAGCTGTGTACTTTGGGTCATTATTCTGTTGGAAGACCCATGACCTACGACTGAGACCAAGATTTCTGACACTAGGCAACACATTTTGTTCCAAAATACCTTGATAGTGTTGAGATTTCATTGTACCTTGCACAGATTCAAGACACCCTGTGTCAGATACAGCGCCAGAACATAACCAAGTCTCCTCCATGCTTCACAGTAGGGAGAGTGTTCTTTTCTTGGTGTGTTTCATTTTTGCGCCTGTGAGCATAGAGCTCATATGCCTTGCCAAAGAGGTCCAGTTTTGTCTCAACTGTCCAAATGACATTCTCCCAGAAGCTTTGTGGCTTGTCAATATGTATTGCATTTGCTTTCAACAATGGTGTCCTCACATGAAGTCCACATTGGCATAAACAGTGACCGATGGTGCAATCTGACACTGGTGTACCTTGCCCTTCAAATTCACATTTCATTTCTTTGGAGTTTGAACTCTTTAATTACCGTTCATATGATCCATCTTTTCAATTTGTCATAAATTTTCCTCTTGCAGCTACATCCAGGGAGGTTGGCTACAGTCCTGTGGACCTTAAACTTCTGAATAACATGTGCAACCGTAATAACAGGAACATCAAATTGCTTGGCCTTTATCTTTAATCTGCTTCTCTATCATTTTCTTTCTAGTCTCCTGACACAGTTCTCTTCTTCACTTTCTCTGGTCCATGTTCAGTGTTGTCTCCATCATGTCTACAAACGGCACAATGGCACATGTGTCCCTTTAAACAGGCAGACTGACTGAGGACAAGTTTGAAGACACCTGTGATGCAGATTAGAGGACACACCTAAGTTTAACATATCCCTATTGTCCAATAACTTACAAGCCTTTCTAGGGGCACCATAATTTTTGTCCAGGCCAAGTTTGTTTGTTTTTTAGTTTGTTTTTTTAAATTATTGTATTGAACAACAATTCAAAAACAGTGTCTGATTTTCATTGGTTATTTTTTAGTAATATTCTATTAATGCTTTTCTTAGTTTCAGGTTATTTCAGTGACCATTGTTGAGTTTTCTTTGATTACCAGAGGGGTACCAACAGTTTTGAAATGTCTGTATATCAAAGTTTCATGGTGCACAGTTATTCATATATTTTACATTTTCAGGGACCATTTGGATATCCTGGATTGGTTGGAGAGAAAGGAATCCCAGGATATCCAGGCGCACGTGTACGGACACATTTTACATTTTTATCAAAATCCTTGAAATATTCATGCATTTTCTATATTTTACATTACACCTGTAATGGAACTACTTAGCTACTATTATTAATGTTGTCATCACACAGGGCCCACCTGGTTTTAATGGACCTCCTGGTGGTCCAGGTCAGCAGGTATGTTCATAGCCTTTATTCAGGCTAATTTGTGGAATCATGAAAAAATAAATAAAATATATTACACTTAATATATTATCGCTTTTTTCTTAGGGATACAGAGGCAATCCAGGCTATCCAGGGGCCCCAGGAATCCCAGGAGGAAAGGTAAACTAGTTACTGGTTTGTTAAAACTCATTTTGCTATTTTAATTACTACTTACTGTGCCACTTTAATTATTTTAAAATTTAAATTTCATAACAATTTCATTATAATTTGACTCTTTGTTATTATAAATTAGTGTGTTAGCTACAGTGTCTGAGCAATTTCCCTTTGTCTTAGTCCAGTAATATTTTTAATAGCGCCTACAGTAATACTATTTGCCCACTAGATGGCGCTATTGAAAGTAATTAACCGAGGCATTATTCAGGCAGGAGAAGGACTATGAACTACAATTCAAAACAATAGCTTATTATTGTACTTTCTGAAGGAGCGCACCTTTTTTCCTTAGCTAACTTTGCATAACTGAAATGTACAAAAGCTTCATGTTACATTTTGCGGTTTGGTTTGTTATATTTGTGAATATTTGCTGAAAGTTTGTATACTTAAAAATAAAAAAAAATTGCGCATGTTTTTTCTAATTATTTATAAATATTCTTACCACTCAATTTCCAATATTGTCTAAAAGGGAGAGCAAGGAGAACCCGGATTTCCAGGACCCCCAGCGTATGTCACCGATTTGGGCACTGCTGTTCAAGGTAATTAAACAGAATTTGGGCAAAAGTAAATTCCAGGATTTCTCTTACACTTTGATTTCATGCCTTAGGTCCACCTGGAGACAACGGCCGTCCTGGGATCCCTGGTCCCCGCGGCGACCAAGGTCCTCCAGGATTTCCTGGCCTTCCCGGAGTTCCAGGAACATACACAGGAATTGGAGGTAAAAACAATGCATTTAGGAACATATCTGGTTAAGTTTGTCCATAAATGTGTGAATATTACTACTAGGAACAATAGTGAACATAAAAGATATTTGGTTATGGGAGAAAACTGGCAGGTACATAGGTCTAAATCATCACTAACAGATTGTTCAGCTTCACTGAAATGTATTCTCTTCTAATGCAGCACGTGGAGCCCCAGGTTTCCCTGGTACACCAGGTCCAAAGGGAGAGAAGGGCAGCCCAGGTATCCCAAGCTACGGCCCCGAGGGTCAGTCCGGCTCCCCTGGACTCCCAGGACAACCCGGAGTTGCTGGACCCCCTGGACCCTCTGGTAACAAAGAATAACGCTCTTATATTACACAAGATTGACTCCTGTGAGCTTTAAGCGATGTTAAAATGTTGTTACCTCCTCAAAAACAGGATGAGTTGTGTTTTGTTTCATTCATACATATTTGAATAATTCTTTATAATTAGTCTGTCTACATCTCCAAAGCTCAAAATGCTTTGTTCCACCTTGTGATGTCATGAATCAGCAGTTTTCAAGTTAACAGCTGCCTTTTATGTTTAGTTCATTAGAGATTGGCAAGGCCAGGGCTGAAATTAAAAACACAGTAGAACACTTCCAGTATCATCACATGACATCACAAGGTGAAATAGAGTGTTTTCTGTTTGAAACAGGAATTCAGCCTAAATATGCAGGGTTTGTGTGTTTAACATGTGTGAATGAGACAAAACTCCAGGTATGTTTGTGATGTCTCAATACAACCACACATCTCAACCAGCAATCAGCAATGACCCTACATTAAGCATCACACCCCCAGAAAATATTGCTGACATCAGCTGCAATGTAGGCTATCAATAACACTGAAAACATTTGTTTTTAATAATTTTGAGATTAAACACCACACACACTGCAGGTTAATGTGGAAAGAATTTTATAGCTCACTACTTTTATTGTCCTCCAAGGATTCAATCCCTGTGTCATCTATCCTAACGGACAACCAGGTATCAATAAGATAACCATATTGCCATTAACATTATGGCAATTATGGGCCTATAAAATATAAAACAACTTTGGTAACACTTTATAGTAACTACACTGTAATTAGCCTTAATAAAGCATGAACAAAGCCTTAAATCATAATGAACAAATAGTTTATTAGCAATGATTCAGGCTTGGTAACTACTTAAGTAATGTCAAAATCCCAACCCTTTAGGGTTAGGGTAAGTCTAAGCCTGAACCATTTATAAAGAGCGGGTATTATGCAAAATCAACTTGTTGTCATCCATGCATGTTTAAATAATTTTGCAATATTTCCCATGTCCTATTCGAACCCTCTTTACAGTTAACAATACAATCCTATCCAAAATATACAAAAGCAGGCCACAGACTTTAACTTCATAAACCTGATGCGATGTGCAGTAGACATTTAACATGTCAACATGTAATCATCTAAATATGTTATATGTTACTCCAATACCACCTCTTTAATAAACCATCTGTTAATTCTGAATCAGGTGTTTGCTCATAGTTTATTAAAGTATTAACATGTAGTTATTATAAAGTGGTACCACAACTTCACACCAATACTTTTTATGTCTAACTGCTTAAGTGCTATACTGGTGCTAGCCTGCAGGGGCGCTGGTGAGTATGGAAAGCTTCAGACTTGGATAGGAAGGTCCAAGCTGCTTTACTCATCTTTGGCCAGATGATGTCGCCAGTGAACAGTTCAATGATTTTTTTTAAAGGCACTGAAAGCATGGCAGGCAATGCAAGTGCAATATTTATTTTTGGCAAAGGCACATTCAACATTATGAAATATGAAATAAAGTTTAAAATGTGAAATTTAGTAATGTGTGAATGCCAAAACTACACTATGCATGCTCTAGATCAGTGTTGGGCAAGTTACTCTGGAAAAGTAATATGAAAATTTATTATGAATTACTTCCTCTAATCTAACATAATTTACTAAAATAATAATAATAATAATAATAATAATAATGATAACATATTCCTGATTATAAATTATTTATTAAAAAAAATAACTAAAAAGCAACCTAGAGCTCAGGGACTATTATAAAGTCACAAGGAGACAATGGTGAAATGTATTGACTCTTGGTCATTTATCTGAATATATAAACTTAGAAACAAGTAACTATTTGAAACCAAGTGTCTCTCAACACCTCAGTCCTATTTCTAATGTCAATCTGGTACATTCTGGCAGTTTTAGGACACAGCATATAGACTGAAAAGGTAACATAAAGTTACAGGGGGTTTGTAACTGTAATCTAAATACTACATTTTAAAATCTATTACATTACTGCATTACAAAACCATAAAAAGTGTAATCTCTTTACAGTAATTACTAGTTAACGCCCAGCACTGCTCTCGATCATGGTCAATGCAAAATCATTGAATGAGTTCTCACAGCTCATTTATATTTTCAGAAAGATATAAATATAAATGCAACTTTCCTCTTGCAAAGAAATCTTAAATCTATATTCATTAAGAAGATTCCACACTTTTCAGGTAAGTAACAGTGAGTAATCTAATATAAACTGAACATCTCTTTGTGTATTTTCACAGGACCTGGTATAGGTGGAATTGCTACCCCAGGAGAGCCTGGACTGCCGGGGGCCAGAGGAGAGCCAGGAAGCCCTGGGTTTAAAGGAGTCAGAGGTACAATATTGATAATAATACAATATGATGTTCACTCGCTCACTTTTGTTACTGGTTCCATGAGAAAAGACATATGAATCTACTTGTCTGTACAAATAGGGCTTGGTGGTATGCACTATAGAAGTTTTTTTCCCCCTAACATTAATCAATGGCAATTTTTGATTCATTGATCTGGTGGCAAGTTACTATTGTAGCCACTGCTCACCTGGGGCAGATTGACAGAAGTGAGGCTGCCAATCTGCACCATCTGCCCCTTTGACCACCACCATTCACACACACCACATTCATACTAGTTAGTGTGGGTGAAGTGTCTTACCTAAGGACACAAACAGGCATCTGGTATTCTCAGTGGGTTTTTTGGGCTTTATAATTATTTCTTATTGGTCGAGGGTGGAGCCAATCACACTTACAAATGCAGCAGAGTCTGGAGAGTAAAACAAGATGCTCAATTTGAGAAAACACAATTTGGATAAAAAAAAAAAAAAATGATTTGGGCAGTTATGTTATGACGCATATTTTATCAAGTAGCTATAGTATTGTTGACAGTGACACCCATGCTGTACTGGTAGGTGATGTTGGAGACTGTGCCTGTGCTGGGGGCGGTGTTCCGGGGACCCCAGGCGCTGAGGGACCCCCCGGACCCACTGGGTCCCCTGGGTTTCCTGGAGCAAAGGGAGAACCCGGAGACGGAGGAGCGCCAGGATTCAACGGACTTCAAGGACCTCCAGTGAGATTGGAGTTTTTACATTAACAGTGTACTAACATTGCACTGACCCAGTCAAACTAAAGGGTGACACTGATGCAGTGTAATTTTGTTATGTTGACAAGATGAAGAGATCATAAATTTTTTACGTCCATGCCTATATTCAAATGTGGCCAACCCTCTGAAGAAGTCTCTAGCTGAGGAGAGTAGAGCACCACTAGATACACTACTGGTGTGGTTAAATTTTTAAAGTGGTATTAATCTGCTCACAACCACATTTCAGATAGAGCTGCTAAACTGGGCAGTACCTGGAGGACTAAAGGGGAGAGTGACAGGGAGCCAGGTGTTTGTAAACAGAACCATCTGGCTGTAATCAGGTGATCACTTTAATTAGCAAACCCTAACCTGTACCAAACATGCAGTGATTTTCAAATAATAATTTGTTTAGGATTTACTCACCAGATGTTACAGTGTTGTTCCACTCCATTCAGCACATTCAGCAGCTCCAGCCAGGCTCTGCTTGGGACTGTATATATTTCTCCTCCTTAGGATATTTCTCCTTCTTAGGGCCCAGCTGGACCTCGTGGTGGATTTGGGCGTAAAGGAGAGAAGGGTGCTTCATATTATCCCAGTCAGGGTTTGGGGGTGAAAGGCGAGATTGGAGCCCAGGGACCCAGAGGACCCACCGGAGAGACTGGAAAACCAGGCAGAGACGGACTGCCCGGTTTCCCCGGAGCCGTCGGACCTCCTGTGAGTATTGGATATTTTGTAAAGTGCAAACTACAAAAAATGAACTGATACTAGAAAAGCCTGATTTAGACTATACTCCTCCAATGCCAGAAGCACACATTCACTACTAATTCGTTTACAAATGTAAAGTGTGTTAGAAATTAAAATCCATTATTATTACTACTACTACTTATCAAATTATTTCAGTTTTTGAATGTGAGTGAGACTTATTTTTTCATTGTTTTACGTTCTATCTTTATTAGGGAAAATTAATGTTTTTGGTGAGACTTTGAAGTTAAGATCAGATAAACCTGTATTTGTCTTGATGGGGAAATTATAGAAGAACAGGAAATGTGTAATCAAGAAAATAAATATTATAAGATCTAACAACATGCATAAAATTCAACACAACACCTTGCAAGCACAAGGTAACATATCCAAAACTACTATTATTATTTTATTGTTTGTTATTGAAACCATAAAGCTACACAAATTCATGCACACTTCTGCTAATCTGTCTGTCTGTTTCCAGGGCGATGCTGGTTATGGCACAGTCGGTGAAAAGGGCTTCGCAGGATTCCCCGGTCCAAAGGGTCTTCCTGGAGGTCCCGGAGAGCCAGGGGTGGGCTACGCAGGGACCCCCGGATACAGAGGCGAGCCTGGGGACCCTGGTATCCCTGGATTCCCTGGAACACCCGGAGTCCCTGGAGAGAAAGGTCAGTGCAGAGTGTGAAGTTTTATTAGTTGAAATTATTTAAACTGAATAGTTGATTTGACTAGAGTAGATTTATTTACTTATTGGGAATCAGAATTAGGTCGTTCAAAGTACTGAAAATCCGATACTAATCGATATTCAAAAATTTGTATTGAAACTAGATACTCATTTGAACTTATATCGATACAAAAAAGTCACATTTACGGGACAGAAATTAACCTTTCTTGAATAACTTTAGAATGATCTTGAGCTGTATCAGAACAAGTATAAGAGCTAAGAGACTACTCTCATGGACCACTATGGAACCTACCTTAACAACTGTGGGATTACACAGATATAAAACCACATGGTAATATAAAAGAAAGTACTATTATTTATTGGTGAAAAATATATTATCTGAATAAAGAGTGTTTGTAATTATCATTTCTTTATCAAAATCAGCATCAAGTATCGAGTCTATTCCTTAATATCAGGTTTGAACTATGCCATATAATGTTTTGACTTTTATTATCAATTCACAACATACAAACTGTAACAAAAAAAGAACAAGTACGGTTCATTTTCTCCATCTTGCATAGTATAAATTAGTTTTTGGCTCAGGATTGAATTAAATAAGTTTCTATCTTATTATATCTTCATTATATTGCAAATGTTTAAAACACACATTGCGGAGCATAAAGTTCAATAGTTCTGAACTGGTTTGCTAAGTGAAAGAAATTGAAAGTAGTACACTTAAAATTCAATGATCCAGACCTACAAAGTGAATAAATCTATTAATAAAAATAGTCAAACTCAACTCATGTTCTTTAGCTGATGTAGCGATAGAGTGTTTGAGAGTGTGAATGGATGTGATGCTTTCTTCAACAGGCTGAAACCACCACCATCTCATCCATCTCTGTAGTTATAGTTATTCACATAGTCCATTAGTCTCCATTTTAAGATTAATCCTTCTGGTACATTGGCCGGTTTTACGTCTGGTCCAGTCCCAGGTCTGGTCCGGTCCCAGATCTGGTTCAGTCTTAGGTTCAGATCCTGGTTCGGCCTCTGCAGCTTCCTGCCTTCACACCTGCTGCAGCTGTTAACTTCATGATTAATGGTCTCCATTAATGTGCTTTCTCTGCAGCCCATGATATTAATATTAATAATATTAATAATAATCCATAATCTACAAACTGCTGCATTTTAACAGTGATGATGTATTTGCTGAATGTGTAACAGCCACTGTGATTGTTTTAGTCTCAGAAAACACTTTAAGACATTTGTTTTATATATTATCAATTCAGCAAGTTAAAACATTGGTTAAAAAAGCTTTTAAAGTACACTACACTAATGTACACTAATACTACTTAAAAACATGTAAGGTACCACACAAGACATAATTTACATACACAACAATTAGTTCTAATTTCTAAAGTTACATCACTTAGCATTATACAAAAAAGCAACTTAAAAAAAAAGTAGATAAAAATGTTTTATCTTCTTGTCTTGTTGTTAATTAAGTTATGATTAAGATGTAAACATCAGCAGAATTACATGTTAGTTACTGTATATGTAAAGACATCCAGAGTATCAAATAAAATTTTACTTCTTACACATAAAGCCTCAATACAAACCTATGGTCATGCACACCTCATTAATTCGTACAATGAACATATACAATGCATTTGTTATAAATAGATACTTTATATTGATCCCGAAGCAAATTCCACCTGCTCTTATTCTTTTTTGTGCTATACAGAGGTTTTCTGAGACTAAATGACACAAAGTCCACTACAGTGTGAATGTGATGCTAATGCTACACTGATTTAATGATGCTATTAATAAGAAGGCTATTTCCACTCACAACAGCTGAGACGAGACTTAAAGGGGTATTATGCTAAATATACTTTTTTGAGCTTTCTTCTGTGTTATAAGGTTGTTCCCTCATCAAAAACATGCCTGAAGAGATTTAGATGTCATCCATGCATTTTTAAGTAATTTAGCAATCTCTTCACGGGCTCTATTCTAACCCTTCTATGGTTAACTAAAATTCTGTCCAATGTTCAGCCTATATCACCACTTGCTTGGCAATTTTCCATAAATATATAAAAGCATATATTTAAAAAAAACAAAAAAAACAATGCGCTAGAACTCCACAAACCTGATGTGATGTGGAGTAATTTCAGAGCGTTATCACATTACAATTGTCATGCATTTCACTAAGGGAGGGGAGACTCAGCATCAAAAACTAAAATGAAACTTATTACACATGTTAATACGTTGTTTTCGGGAAAATATCAATTTCAAAAGAATTAAATGTAACATAGTGATTTAAATATGTTTAGCAGTTTATGCCCCAGAGTGTAAAGTAAAGTGTAATTAAGATATGTTTATTTTAATATAATGGATAATATACTAATTTGTTCCATGCTGTTGGTAGTGGAAATAACTGGTAAACAATGAAGCAAGAATTGATCAAGCTTCTGCCTTAACTGCTTTAATAATGAACTGAAATCCATTTGATGAACTGAATTAATTGCGCAAATGACCCTAACTGGCTTTGTGTGCTGCCACCTGTACCTGTCTCTCTATCTCTCCACCCATCGCCCGCCTCTCGATCGCCCGCTCACCTGTGCATGTTTGTCCAGGTGACAGCAGCTGTGGAGGGGTTTATGACGGCCAGAAGGGATCGGGTGGGTAACTAATGCTTTTCATCCACCAGAAAGTTTAAATAGAGATAAGAAAGCAGAGGAAAACTGGTGGACACATGAACAAATGTTTTACAGAAAAAATAGTTTGAAAAGTTTTATTTAGATGCCGTTTACACAGAATGATGTGTAAACGGTAGATGGTGCTAATATAATTCTCTGCAACACTTGTGAACTTCTAAATTGTAGATGGAAAATGTTGCCAAAATACATTCATTGTTAAAGGTCTTATATGTTATAATGTTATTACCTCCTCAAAAATATACCTGGATTTATGTTTTGTTTCATTCATGTTTGAGCAATTCTTTATTTTTAGTCTGTCTACATTTGTAAAGTTCAAAATGCTGTGCTCCACTTTGTGATGTCATGAAGCGGTAGTGTTAAGTCTAGAGCTAACTTTTATTTGAAATTCTCCAAATGATTCTAGTTAAGTGAAGAGTGTGGAGTTTAAAAACACAGTGGAGTCTCTTCCTGCAGGATTTGATTGTTAAACATGTGAATGAAATGACACAAAACTCTGGTTATGTTGTTGATGAGGAGGTTATAAGGTTATAACTTAGATCAGAAAACTACGTAAAATTAAAAAAAAATATATTTGTTTATAAAAAGGTTTAACGCATGTGTTGATGACAAAGCCAATGGAAGATTCTCACTCCCTGAGCTTTAGGGACTCCATTTGGCCGAGTCTAATGTCCATAAACAGGTTGATCTATACATTATATTAAGTTATATATACAGTGTTAGGAGAGACTCATTAGCCAGTTATAGAGCAGACCCTTCTCTATTTCCACCAGTCAAAGCTTCACAAACCTGGTGCATGTTTCTGCCTGCAGTGCTAAAGTGCTTTTTAACCAGTTATTCATGTTTGAAAGAAAACCAAAACATCAGTATCTATTTTGTATCATTCATTAAGTTTTCATTTTTTCCACTAACTGCATTAAAACCAGACAAACCCAACAATTAACCAAGGTATGAATGGACACAACAGACAATTAGTGCATAAGACAATCCATGTGTAACTCACATTTAACCAGAATATAGAATTCAGTAATGATGACATTTTTATTAGGATATGTTAGACTAAGTGCTATGTGAACTGTGACTATTTTGTGAATCTGTACTGATCATTATCAGAGGTGGTTAGTATAGCAGTTTTTTTTTTTTAGGTTTATTTTTTTGTTCTTTTGTTTTTTTAATATATTGTATTGCAGTAGTTTTCAGACAACATACTTTTAATCCTTCTTGAGTAATAATTTTTTGAAGTAACAGTACTTGAGTAAAAGCTTTGGTTAATCTTTCCACTGTGATTAAGTCTTCAAGTGACAAAAGCTTTATGTTGACATTTGAGTTTATTTTACCTTCAGATTTTTTATTTTTTTTCCCCACATTTGTGTGTTTATCTTTTGAAAATACTACAACTGCTTATGTACATTTTTTTTGTCCTAAATACCACATTAAATTCAAATTATAAATCCGATGCTACGTCCAGACATTTTTTACAAATGAAAATACTCTTTTACTCTTTCTTGAGTAATATTATTTCTAAGTGATATTTTTCTTACTTGAGTATATTTTTCGACTACTCTACCCACCTCTGATCACCTACATTTAGACTGATATTTTATTTGTTGTTAATATTTGGAGCTTGTATCTTGTATATTGTGTCTGTGTTGTCCAATATCTCTTCAAATGTCACTTCTAACTTATCATGACCACTACTAGGCACCAATCTTCCCTGCACTATTCCTGGAGAACCTGGAGAGCCCGGTTATCCTGGTATCCCGGGGCGACCAGGTAAAAACAACAACAAAAAATGATCCTTCAAATGTATTCATAACTGTTTTAGATTACATCTTGTGATAGGTGTTAAATTATTATTATTATTTGCCTTTTAAATGTATAAAATATTTGACTTTTATAATTTCAATTAACTACTTATTTTTGTTGTATTACTGCATATTTTACAGCTAAGAAGTAGCAGTTGCATAGATTATTTCCTTATTGATTCATTCATTTCAGATTTGCCTTACCTAAAGAAAAATAAAATTGTTGAAAGAAGTGAAACTATTTATATTTTCAATGTGGGAAATTTATAAGGCATCAGTAGAAGTACCCGCTTTAAGTATTTTTGTTGTCATTAAGTTATTAAAGTCTCACCTGTTCTTGCACCTATCCAAAGGGCCTAAGGGACAGCCTGGGTCCAGTGGAAACCCAGGGCGTCCTGGTTTTGATGGAACAAAAGGAGAAAGAGGAGACCCAGGTTACGGAGGCCAGCCAGGACCACAAGGTAAACCAGCTTTAAACACTTTTCACTAGGTGCTGCTCATTTTATATTTAAAACATCACTAAATTACATTCACCAGGGCATTATCCTGTTATCTATGTGGACTTTGCATGTTCTCTCTGTGTCTGGGTGGGTTTCCTTTGGTCACCCCATTTCTCCCATCAACTCAAAACTTGCACCATAGTTGAAATCCTCCAGCTAGTCCTGATCAAGGCTAGCTTAAGATCTGGAGATGCTGCTCTTGACAGTTTGGCCCAGTGGCATTGAAGGATGGGTCAAATGCAGTACAATAAAGTGTACCAGATAGTATTTGTAAAAGCAAAAAATCATAAAATTGCAGCCCTATTTTTTCCATTTATAGTGTCATATAATGTTGAACAAACCAATAACTTCGTTGTAAGCAAATGTTGGCAAAATTAACCCAAATAGCATAAATCTTGTGGACTTCTCTGTAGGTTTCCCTGGACCCAGAGGAGACCCTGGTATTCCGGGTGTACCAGGAACCAGTTTGAATGGAGCGAGGGGAAAGGACGGTGTGCCTGGTATTCCTGGAGCGAAGGGCCAACCTGGAGATGTGCTGGGGGCCACTCCTGGACCACCAGGGCTCAATGGCTTTCCTGGGGCCCCTGGAGACAAGGGCCTGCCTGGGACCCCCGGAGGACCTGGTGCACCTGGTGAGTATCAGACCAGCTGGATACTAAAAGTAGTATAGAAACTAGAAACTCAGTTGTACAGTTATCACATTCACAAGTCACATTCACAAGACAGAAATGAACCTTTCTTGAATAGCTTTAGAATGATCTTGAGCTGTTTAAGACCACAAAGACTAATATACACCCATGGACTGCTATGGAACTGGAACCTACCTGGAAGGAACAGTGTGACTGGTCGAACAAAAAAGTATTAGGAACAGTAGAGAATGCTATTAAAACACCATAAAACACCATATACACAGCAAAAGAAATGTATTTAATGTTTAGTTCCACTTTAAGTGTGTATGTATGTAAGTGTATATAATTATAAATATGTGATATTATTGGTGATTTATCTATCTATACAAAACTATAAATTTTCAGTTCTTCAAATATCATAACTGGCCTCTCCCCTCAGGTTTGGATGGGCGTAATGGTGTTCCCGGATTGAAGGGAGAGCGAGGAGTTGATGGTGCACCAGGTTTCCCCGGAGCTCAGGGACCTCCAGGAGAATACACAGGAGGGGTCCCAGGACGGCGAGGAGAACCTGGTCCCAAAGGACTGAGCGGACCCCCAGGTACTCCCCAAGTTCTCTGCTTCTGTCTACTAAAGCATTTCATATTTACATATTTACTCTACAATATAGTTGGCAAAAGTATTGAAAATGAGATACAAATCAATATTAAAACTAGTATAGAAACTGGATATTTATTTGTACTAAAAAAGTCAGAGGATAAAATGAACCTTTTCTGAATAGCTTTAGAATGATCTGAGCTGTATAAGAGCACATAGACGAGTATACACCCATGGACAAGTATGCACACTGCCTGGACCACTGAGGGATGAAACAGATATAAGGCCACATGGTAATATAAAAGAAAGTCCTATGATTTAATGTGGAAAATTACATTCTGTTGTCTAAAGAGTGTTTTTATTATCATCTTGGTATCGTAATCAGTATTAGCAACATTATAATTAGTGCTGTCATGCGATTAAAAAAATTGAGAGATTAATTAATTATGATCTGTAATTAATTAATCTAATTAATCTCATTTTAATCTCACCTAAAAATTGCTGAGAAAAGCCTTCAATTTGAGGTATTTTCATTTAAAGTCATTATTACATTATTGTGGCAGATCAAAAGACTGATATAGATTTTAAAAAGTGACTTTATAAAGTCATTTATTGTTTAACAAATCTCTCCAATTTGTCTCCATGTCTCCATGAATAAGAAACTGTTTGTTGTAAAGTAGCAAAGACGAGGAAATCTGAACATAATAACTTTTGTCTACTTAAAGACAATAAAAAGTCCAGTCTTTCCTTAACCATATTAAAAATATTATTGACAGAGAAATGCTTTATATATGAGATCACTGGTTTTAGTCCTTGTTTTAGTCCTGGTTTAGACCTGCTTTAGTCCTACTTTAGTCCTAGTTTAGTCCTGGAAAGGGTTAGTCCTGGTTTTAGTCCTAGTGTTAGTTCTGGTTTAGTCCTGGTTTAGTCCTGGTTTAGTCCTGGTTTAGACCTGGTTTAGACCTGGTTTTAGTTCTGGTTTTAGTTCTGGTTTAGACCTGGTTTAGTCCTGGTTTTAGTTCTGGTTTAGTCCTGGTTTAGTCCTGGACTGGATAAGTCCTGGTTTTAGTCTTGGTGTTAGTTCTGGATTAGAGGCGCACAGGAGGAAGCGCGGTTTATGCAGCGTAGCGAGAAAACACGATCCACACGCGGCGCACGGCAGCACGTCGGTGTCCGCGCAGTGTCTACGGAAGGAAACGTGGTCCGCGCGTTCTCAGGTTAATGACGATGATGAAGGTGTGTGTTTGTTTGTGTGTGTTTGTGTTTGTTTGTGTTTGTGTGCGTGTCCCCTCATGTGGCAGGTCACTATAGGACAGTAGTGCAGACATCATGAGTCTATGCAGGTTGTTTTCACCAGTGACATTTAAGTTGTAGGCTACTGGACGTTTACATCGCTCTTATTGCGCACGTTTTGTGTGGGTTTCCGACAATGAGTGGAATTACCGAAATAAAAAAATGTATAAATGTGTTTTTTGTGTGTGTGTTGTTGTCCCAACAACACATAAAAACTGATTTTATAATAAAGCAACTCGCATACAGAAACAGTAAATTTAGAGATTAAAAATGAGATTAACGCGATTAAAAACATAACGCGCTAAATATGACTGTAATTAATTAATCGCAATTAACGCGATAATTTGACACCCCTAATTATAATACAGTTTTGCATGTATGAAGTCAATAACAAAACTATACTACATACCTTCATGCTATGTTTTCTATTACGTGGGAATATATTCAAACTTCAGAATATTTACCAAAAGATTAAACTCTCATTTGAAGAACTCAAAAACTGAAAAGTTTAATATTTTTCATCATTTCATTCTGTCTTGAAGTTGATTGTTCATTTTTGTATTTTACTCTCCTCAGTTTCAACGTGAGTCAGAGTCGGCCATTTTGTATTTCTGTCTTTCACTGATCTGTTCTTCTTGTTTCTTTCTCCTCTTTTTCCTCCTTCACCATCCTTTCATCCTTATTGTTTTACTTTTTGGTTTTGGGTCATTCCTGTAGGCTGTCCAGGTGAGACATCCCATATGAACCTCCTCCCTCTCTTCCTCTGCTTCGTATTCAACATTCTGTCAAATATTAACATTTATTTTATTGCCTTTAAAAATAAAATGCCCATATTAGTCAACATTGAATTCATCTCCAATTTTGTTGCTAGTTTTTGCAATTTTAAGTTGTGATGTTGGCTACAAATGGACATTTTTGCAATGGGTGTGGATAAGTCTAATCATTACTAAACAGGTTTATTGAATTATTTGCTATTGCTCTTAAGAAAAAAAAACAAAGCTACCTGCAAAATAAAATAAAATTGCATTATATTTCCAGCACATCCATGTTTTAAATTAATTTCTCCACTTTCAGAGCGCACTTAAAGATACTGTATAAAGAAGTGGACTAAGGGAGTGTAATGTCACCCATAGTGTTCGGCTTCGGTCATATCAAGCTTATTGAGGCTAGCAGTTATAGGAGCTCATTTGGAGTTGAGTTCCATATTAGGAACAGGAATTTATTAATTTATTTTTTCAATATAAAATAAATTGGACACTGAGTCAATGGAGCCAAAAATGTTCACTTCCTATTTGGAACTGGGTGGCTAGTGGATTAGCTATGTCCATTTATATATACAGTTTGTGTTATAAAGTTTATATTTTTAAAGTAAGATACAACTTATGGGGATGTGTTGAAAATGGCTTAGCTACAATAGAAGCAATATTACTAGTATTTAGCTTGCTTCATCCCAGACAAACCTAAAGCTGTTTAACATGGCTAATTTATTCTGCTCTTGTACTTGGAAATCCTATGTTATTGACTGTAAATTGTGGTTTAATCAATTATTATCAGTTATTAATAAAATAGGCCAAGTACAAATGCAGAACTCAAAGACATTAGAACAATGTGATGGTAGTTACATTGGAATTCATGTCTTTGTCAAAGTGTGTGTTGTTGATTTTTTTTTACATGACTTTAAAGGTACACTGGAACTTTTCTGGTGGGTTGGCACCCACCATTGCTCCACCTAGAATGATTCACAGTATGGCATTTAATATAGCCATCACATTTATTTAATAATAGGTGTTTTTATTTATTCACAGTTATACCTGTAACCTGTGCATAGTGGCACCACGTGCTTGTCTCCATGGAGATAGATAAGTTTAATGCCTTACTGTGAAACATTCTAGGCAATAACATATCTATGAAGACATGCATGTGGTAAACTCCCCACCTGAAATGTTACGCAGTGCACTTTTAACATCAAACTTGTTAAATAATTCAATTTCTTACATGAACCAGCTTGATAGTAAAATAATACATTGTCTCTTTCTGTAGGTTATCCCGGTCGTAAAGGAGACAGGGGAGATCCAGGATTCCCGGGCCCCTCTGGCATGAAGGGCACTCCGGGTCTGCCTGGCATCCCAGGGAGCCCCGGACCCCAAGGACCCCCCGGACTCCCCGGACCTGGCACCGTTCCCGGAATCCCTGGAATACCAGGTGTCAAGGGTAAGATCTGGCTACTGCTTTAGTAGTTTCTCATTTAGAATTTGGCACCACTGAGTAGCCATTTTGATAAAAAAATAATAATAATTTAACCCACTTTTCAGTGCTTATACCTATTTACAGACACAAACTCAATATGTCTTAATACAAGGGTTACAGTAGGTTACATTCACACTTGTCTGTGTTGGGTCATGGTTTGGTACTTGGTTTAGTCCTGATCTAGTTCAAAATGGAGTCCCAGTTTAGTCCCAGTTTTACGTGTGTGAAAGTGTGAAAATTTAATGATCATATTGCTTTGTTCCATTGTTTTGTTCCTCAGGTGAGAGAGGTTTCCCAGGCTTAATGGGTTTCCCTGGACTCCCTGGTCGTCCTGGATCTCCCGGTTTTCCGGGTGGGAAGGGTTTTCCGGGAGACCCCGGAAGAAACGGACGGGACGGGGGCCCTGGATTCACTGGACCTAAAGGTACAACATCTGTGGTTGTCTTATGTGCTACTGGCTGGTCTATGGTAGGTTTGGCATGGAACATAAAGGTAAAGATGAATAAAAGCTATGATTTTTTTTTTTTTTTTTTTTTTATAATAATTTTTATTTGCAAACTACATAGATTACAACAAATAGGAACCAAACAACATACAAGATACAAGACAGACATTACGACTGAACATTACATACAAATAGGAACAAAGATGACAGGGGTTGGTGACAGTGTGAACCTTATGTGCGTGTCTGTGTGTCTGTGTGTGTGTGTGTGTGTGTGTGTGTATATGTGTGCGTGTATGTGTGTATGTGTGTGTGTGCATATACGTGTATGTGTGTGTGTGTATGTGTGTGTGTATGTGTGTGCATACGCGTGTGTATGTGTGTGTGCCGGGGGGGGATAGACAGGCTATGCGGATGATTTAATGCTGACCTGTATTCTTGCTATTTAATTTGAGTATTGAAAATTTGTTAAGTGTGTGTTGGCATTTTGCCTCAAATCCCCACTCAAGTGGGAGCAGGCCAAGCCACACTCACGCCCCCCAAGGCGGGTGCGGGGGCCACCCCCAGGGCTCCGCATGTAGTCGCCCATCGACCAGGCCGGCCCACCCCCCAATATATGTACATGTGCATTCATTCACACGCACACATGCATGCACGCACCTGCCTGCACAGGAATGTGCACGCACATCCACATACACACAAGCCTGCACACACTCAAAAGCTATGAAAATTGATTATTTATTTACAAAAATGTGAATGACAAAATGATTGAATAAAAATATAAAGTCTCTTGATTTATTTTGTCCAAGTTTACTTTGGTTATTTCTTGTTACATCCAGGTGAAATTGTTAGAATTATTTCCGCTTTAGTATTGGAAAATAATAAAGTAATACATCATCTCTTAACTATAATTGTCACAGATGAACAGATGATACAGATGAACAACAAAATATAATGGTCATAGTAATAATAAAGCCATAGTTCAAAGCAGGATGAATAGTTGGATCATGATCATAGACTGTATAAAGAAGTGGACTAAGGGAATGTAACGTCACCCATAGTGTTCGGCCCCAGTCAAATGAAGCTCACAAGGCTGGCAGTTCTAGGAGCTAATTTGGAGCCTGATTTCATATTTGGAATCCCGACTGCGAGTATCATAGCAACCAAAGAGCCAGACACAAGCCCCCCCCCAATATGTTTTACAGTCACATATTACATTCACAAATGATTATGCAGTTACACAAACCTGCTTTATTCTTATTTCATTCTTCAGGTGAGAGAGGGTACCCCGGCCGCCCTGGTCCCCCCGGTGTGGCCCCTCCCTCTCTGCTTGTGGAGAAGGGAGATTACGGAAACCCCGGTAGCAGTGGTTTTCCTGGATTCACTGGACCCAGAGGTAACTACTGTCAAGCTCCTGTGGAGTTGTCTAAAGAGTCAAAAATCAAATACTAATCGATACTAAAACCAGTATCAAAACTAGATACTCATTTGAGTAGTAGTATTGAGTATCAAATCAGTTCCTTAGTATCAAAATTTGAAATTTCACTACTATCATGAGAACAGTAGTTGATACAATAAAGTTAAATTTAACCTGTTTCAGATGATGTTTTAGAATTTTATAGATGTATAGCAGTCCAGATTATCTAAATTATTGAGTATATTGTGAATGTTGTGCCAATTTTTTTACATCAAGCATATATTTTATAGTTTTAAAAATGCTGCAACAGAACTGATGTTTCTGTATTTTGTAGGTAATTACCTCCGCCAAGGAGGTTATGTTTTTGCCGGCGTTTGTCTGTTTGTTTGTTTGTTTGTTTGTTTGTTTGTCTGTTAGCAACATAACTCAAAAAGTTATGGACCGATTTTGATGAAATTTTCAGGATTTGTTGGAAATGTGAAAAGGAAGAACTGATTTCATTTTGGGGGTGATCCGGAAGAAATCCTGGATTCTGGATCACTTTGAAATTTTAGTTAACATTGTGGTAAATGGGGCCAAAAATTTTGTTTCTCAATATCTCGGTTAATTATTGACCAAACCCCATGAAATTTGACTCAGGGATGGACAATGGGATCCTCTTTCATATTCCAAAGGCTGATCCGGATCTGATCCAGAAGACTGATTTTATCGCAATTTATATAAAAAATGGGGGTAGTCCTTGGCGGAGGTCTGCGCTCTCTGAGTGCTTTTCTAGTTTTACAGTATATTTGGGGACTCCAAAAATATAGAGAGCAATTCATTTGAGGTAATTCTTGAATATTTTCCCAGGTGACAAAGGTCTGCCGGGCCTGCCTGGTCGTCAGGGTCTACCGGGACTTCCTGGTTTTGCGGAGCAGAGTAAGGGTCTTCCTGGAGTTCCTGGTCTCTCTGGGATACCAGGAACACCAGGCTTCCCCGGACCCAAAGGAGAGGCCGGCATCAATGGTTTCCCTGGGGGGGCTGGACCAAGGGTAAGACTGCAGAGCCAGAGAAAATTATGAACCAAAAATATTTTATCTTAATAAAAATGAATTTTAACTAGAAATGTATTAAATAGTGTAGTACATGAATCTCTAACAAAAATATACAGGGAATTTAGTTTTTAATTGTGATTTAAAGATAAATAATTGTTGCTATTCTAGGGTGATGATGGTGCTCCTGGTTTGCCTGGTAATCCTGGAGAGCCTGGTCGTCCTGGTGCTAAAGGTTGGTTTAAGAGAGAGATTAGTACTAGTTAAAGACCTATTCTGCAAAACTGATTTTGTTATAGTTGTTTTCCCCATCGTTTACACTCTGGAAGTTGTATTTGGAGTAATTTGTGCATGTTTGAGCAATTTTTTATCTCTTTTTTTCAAGATGCCATATTGCCGATCAACCCCTGTTTTCATAATCTGTGATACACGTAGGATTCGGCAGTGTTGTGTAGTCATTTTGGTACAAAGGATAAAGAATCCACTGCTCACTACCTTTATCTGTAGCTGTCCATCAGATAGCTACCCATTCTACAGTGCTCCAATTGGGTACCGTGGAATTGTTTTGTTTTAGAAGAATATTGTAATAATTTAATAATTATCCACAGGTGCCATGGCCTGTAACTATATAGCAGACCCAAAAACAGTCTGTCTTAAAACCTGGGTTAGTCCTGGTTTAAACTTGGTTTAGTCTAGGTTTTTTAGTCTAGTTCTTGTTTAAGTCCAGTTCTGGGCTTATGTTGACTTGGATTAGACAAGTCAAGTCTCTAAAGGGAGAGAACTAAATTGTAATTATTTTGAATTTGGTTCTCAACCAAAAATTTAATGTTCTTTTTTTTGATGTTCGCTCTTAAAAAACATAATCTTTATTAAACTAATCTGCATACAATCAAGTAAGCAATAAAAAACTTTATTTGAACTGCCCATTTACAACAGTCAGCAAAGTAATAATAAAATAAGTTAAGTAAGACTTGTTTTTTGTTTGTTTTTTTGACTATCACCTATTGCCAGTTAAGACGGTAAAAAATATTGACATTGTTTATTTCATCTCTCAGGTCTTCCTGGAGATTCTTTTGGAGGATATCCAGGAGGCCCCGGACCCAAAGGACTCCCCGGAGAGCCAGGCTTCTCAGGTCAGACACACTTCCATTCACACAACTGAGAACACTGCAAAAATAACATCCAGCAGGAGTACAGTTGTCTTGAAAGCAAAATATGCATACTCACTTGAGTTTGGGTTTGGGTTAGATTTAATTGCTTTAATAACAGCATAATTTGACTTGTTTAATGGTATTTAATGATTTCAAGATAATTAATCCTGAGATAAGAAATTAATCTATCCACAGGGTAAGAAAATTCCACCTACACCATAATATGTAAATAACTTGAAATAAAACCAAAAATGAAACCAGAAAACAACTTGAAATAGGTAAAACAATTTAGGTCCAGCCTGTAAAGAAATCTAAACAAATATAAATAAATGAAATGTTTTAGTTTAAGAGAATTTAAATCATGTTACTGTTCAATATAATAGAGTTATTTTTACCATGTAACTGACTGACTGGTAATTGATAATCCAATATTCCACGTGTTTTGCTTGTGTTTTCAGGAGGCCGTGGGCTGGATGGAGCTCGTGGAGATGATGGTTTTCCAGGAAGTCCAGGATTCCCCGGATCCAAAGGACAGCCTGGAGAACCTGGAGGCCCTGGAATAACAGGTGAAAATATTAACACAGTCACTTCTACAGCTGCTATGCCACAGATCTGCAGAGATGGAGACACTGGGAAAACTAAACTATGGTAAACTAAATGTCCAGAGAGAAAAAATCTATTAAAAAATTCAGCCCATCTTGTCATGTTTTTGGTTAAAAATTCCAATCTGATTAATAAAAAAGATGGTCACCCTTCATAATAATAACTACAACTTAATTAGCCTAATAAAACTTTAAAACTTAAAGCCACAGTATCCAACTTTTTCACCAAAACTTGTACAGTACTGAAATAAAAGCATGTGTTTTGTTTTATTAAGAATGATGAGGCTTGTAGTGGATCACTACAGTCTCATGTGGTTGTTAAGCAAAATACAATTCTGGTGTTGTGTGTAGGTTCCCCTGGTTTCCCTGGTCCCAAAGGTCTTCCGGGATACCCAGGACCAAGAGGCTCAGACGGGTTACCTGGAGGTCCAGGTGGACCTGGAGGACCTGGAGCTAAAGGTAAACAAGCACATTCAATTCAACTTTATTTATTTATGGCCGAGGTTTTTTAATTATTTCTGTGTTTTAGGTTTGCCTGGTTCCCCTGGTTTGGATGGACTTAATGGACTCCCAGGACCTAAAGGACTTCCAGGAACGCCAGGTAACTTTCCTACAGTTAAAATGCTTGTAAAAAATTGGGTTGGCGGTACAATTCCAGCTTGTTTTGTCCTTGGGCAAGACACTTAAACCAGCTCGCCCCTAGAGTCTGCGTACACTAGTGTATGAAAGTATTGTGAATGGGTGAGTGGTTCTTTGATGTAAAGCGCTTTGAGTGCCTTGAAGTTGGAAAAGTATGACCATTTACCATGTGACCAATAGTTATGATTGCACAAATAAAAATACATGCTTCAATGGGTTAAATAAGTGTTTAAACTGGTTGAAAAAGGTGTTTCTGCTTTTTGGATGTAATTGTCTGGCTATTGACATAGATCGAGGGATTTCATTTTAGAACACAGCACTTCCTGCTGATGTTTGACTGATGTAAAACTATAATATGTACCATCCCACTAAACCAAATAAAATTTAACTGATCTTTTTTGCAGGTACCAGTTTAGGAGGTCGTCCCGGAACTCCAGGTATCCCCGGACAGAAGGGAGAGAGAGGCGTGTCTTTCCCAGGAATCCCAGGATTCAATGGGGCTAAAGGAGAAAGGGGAGCGCCAGGTAACACAGAAATTAGGTGTAGTGGTACTTAAGAATTTGAATATACTGTTTTTTTTTGTTTTTGTTTGTTTGTTTTATAATGACATCTAGAAGTTTCTATAAAAACATTCCTAATGATTAACAATATTAACAACAAACTGACTTAATTTTTTCTTTCTTAATGTCATCCCAAGTGCCCAAGTTGGGAAACAGCTTTTATAGTGCACTACAAAGAATTATGCATTTCTCCAAGAGTTGTTGGCTTATAGTTTACTTTTAGTAATTAATGCATATCAACCTCCCATGCTCTTTATAAAATGTAATAATTGCCATGTTTATTTTTGGTAATAGGTGGTCCTGGACTGCCAGGTTTCCCCGGTCGCCCTGGTCCACCTGGTCCCACTGCTGTGTCCAGTGCTGTGGGTCCACTCGGAGATCCTGGTCTGCCTGGTTTGGATGGAGAATATGGTAAGAAATATAAAAATATAAAAATCATATATTTTTTGCATTCATCCTAGGTTAGTCATTGATTGTCTTCTCTTTCAGGTTTCCAGGGCCCCCCCGGTCCCCCTGGTCCCCCTGGCCCAGGCACCTCTCAGGGAGATAGAGGCGATTCCGGTCTCCCTGGTTTTCCTGGAACTCCGGGACAGAAAGGAGAGCCTGGTTTGCCTGGAGGCCCTGGTGCCCCTGGGAGTACTGGGTTCAAAGGTAAGAAGAACATAAGATTTATCTTTATCACTTTATAATAAGTACACCTTAATTTGCTGTAAAGAGCCCATATTACACTGTTATAATGCTGTTTCCTCATCAGAAACATACCTGAAGTTGTGTTTTGTTTCATTCATGTAACACATAAACCCTGCATATCTAGAGAGCTGGACATTGTAAATATGGCACATGTGTTTTTTAGGAGAGAGAGGTGAACCTGGATTCAGCGGTGGTTCTGGTCTGAAAGGATTTTCTGGAGATCCTGGATATTACGGAGGAAAAGGACCAAAAGGATTTAGAGGTAAGATAATTTGTAGGCTGAGCAGTTAGCACTCTGGTCTCACAGCTCGAAGGTTCCATGTGCAACTCTTGGGCCTTTCTGTGTGGAGTTTGCATGTTCTCTCTGTGTCTGGGTGGGTTTCCTCTGGGCCCCGGTTTCCTCTGTCAATCCAAAACATGCACAGTAGATTAAATCCTCCAGCTAAGGTAGTCCTGACCAAGACTAGCTCAAAATCTGGAGATGGGTGCCACTGTTCCCTACAGGTAGCGATATGGAGACAATAAAGTATACCATAACCTTGGTGTAAAAACCTGTTAAATCACAATGTACACACTCGACAAACCCAGATTTATAAAGTAAGCATCCAAAACGTAAAAGTCGTCTGTTGCAGACCCAAAACTGTATTGTATTGAGTAAATAAAAATGGAGGATTTATTTACAGTCTAACAATATATGGGGTTGTCCCAATCTGATCATGTGACTGCGGACTCAATCCAGACTCGGACGTTACATTCTGATCAGATATCGGATAAATAATATATGTATACAACACACAGCGTGCACAGGACACACAGCACACAACCGTTTTTGTTTTGTTTGTTTTTTTTAACTGAGGCGCGGGATTTGCTCAGGGATTAGCACAGGGTTAACGCTATCTGTCCCAGCTCCTGCTGTACTAGAGCCACGCTCGCGCTGGAACTTTTGGGCCGTGCCGTGCTCGGGCGCTATTGCCTGGGGTTCTGAGGCCCGTGTTCACATCTGTGCTTCCGATGGCGTCATCGCACGGCGCTATTTGTTTGCATATTGCGCAGTGGAGCTGGCGCTTTTGGCAGAGAGCGTGGGAACAGTGGTGTGGAGTGTCTATTGAGCGGTGGAACCGATGTTGCAGTGTGCGCTCCGCTGTGGGTTTGTGGATGTGGTGGCGGTGTGGGGGAATGGGGACGGCCAGGGGAGTGGCTGTGGGGCTTCTGTCATCTTGTTTTTATTTGGTAAGATTTTGTATTATTTGGATATCACAGACTAGCCTAAATGTTTCAAATGTAGTGCACAGGCTTCCATATAATATCAAATATACAAACTATAGATTGTGCAGAGTCTAGTCTTAGGGTCTGATCTGATTCTGGTCTGGTTCCAGTTTTGTCCAGTTCATTAAGTTTACTAAGTTACACATTCCAAGATGGTAAGATTTTCAACAATGATGGTGCATGGTTAGAAAAGTTAATCAAATTTAAGTTTTGGACATTTGATTTTCACACACAAGTTCAGCCCAAATATTACACATTGAAATCAACACAGTCTGATCCCCCCCAAACATCCTGGATCTTATTCTTTCCTCATAGTCATTTCATAATGTTTTATAGAATTATCGGATCGGGACTCTGTATCGGCAGATACTCAAAATCAAACGACTCGGACTCAGACTCGGGGGCAAAAAAATTTGATCGGGACATCACTAATAATATATCCAACAATATCTGATGTGGCTCTAAATACTGTCTCCTTTATCTTTGTGTAGGTCCCCCTGGTCGCAAGGGTCCCCCTGGTCTCACCCTCCCAGCCCCCCCTATCACTCGGCCTCTGTACGGAGACATGGGCGTGGCTGGAGAGTCCGGAGGTTCTGGATCACCTGGAGAGCCTGGTCAGCCTGGCCTCCCTGGACGCCCAGGTAAAGGACTAATTAACCCAGTGATTGAATATTTAGTTTGACAGGTTTAGCCTTTGTTTGGTCCTGAGTTAGCCCTGGGTTAGATCTAGTTTAGTCTTGGTTTGGACTTGGGTTAAATTGCTTTATACCTATTTTCAGGGAATTTAATCACACAAACTTACTTGCATGTTACTGGTAGCATAGGAAATCAGTTCTGGCTTTGTTCACACGTGACTTTGTTCTGACAAAATGCTAGTAAATTCCCAGGTTAGACTGCATGTGTGAATGAAGCTGCAGATCTGTAGATTTGTTCTGTTTTAGACTTGGTTGGTTTAGACTTGGTTTGGACCCAGTTTAGTTTTGCTTCACACCTCCTTTATTCCCAGACTAGAACTGGTTTAGTCCATTTTTAACCAGTTTTTGTCCTGGTTTAGACCTAGTTGTGAAAGTGGTTAGAAAGGCAATAGTTTTCTGAGGTGGTCTTTTTGTTCATGGTAAAACATCACCTTGACTTTTGTCTTAGGTCCTAAGGGGCGCCTCGGTTCTGTGGGCAGATTGGGTAGACCCGGGTCTCCTGGTTCCCCTGGTTTCCTTGGTGATGCTGGACCTCCTGGATTCCCTGGACCAAATGGAGAGCAAGGTCAGTAATAAAAAAAGTTAACATGCAGTTAAGATGCACTGCATAACTTTCTAATGGGTTCACTATTTGTGTCCATGGAGATTTCCCTGAAATGTTCCACAGTATGTCATTAACATTTCCATTCAATTACAGGTGTTATTATTTCTCCCAGGTCCTGAGAAATTGGTCACTGCTCCACAGATCTGAGATATAGATTGTCTCTATATGGAAACATAAAAGTTGAATTCCATACTGAAGAACATTACCAAAAAAGCAGAAAAGTTTCTTTTAAAATTTGCTTGTTGGCCTTGCATAAGAAAAAAGAATAAATTTAAAAAAAATTATTTCTTTCAGTAAACACCGCTCTCCTCTCCTCAGGTTTACCTGGAGCACCTGGTCGCCCTGGACCCCCCGGAGCAGTGGGCCGCAGTTACAGTATTGGCTACACGATGGTGAAGCACAGTCAGAACTCCCAGATCCCCATGTGCCCCCAGGGCATGGCCAAACTGTGGGATGGATACAGTCTGCTCTATGTGGAGGGACAGGAGAAGGCTCATAACCAGGATCTAGGTATGAAACATATGAGCCACAGCAAACCACAGCCATACCACGTTTAAAAACTTTTACATACATCTCACATTATCTTTAATAAATATTGAAACAGATGATTGTCTTGTTTATTTGCTAATAAAATAATGATACATTATTTAAAATCTACTGAATCTCAAAATGTTCAACCTGGCTTTTGTCGATCTGTGGCCTGCTGAATTGAGTTCTACGAGTTTATCAATCTGGAACAACTCTCCATATAAACAGCGGTGCTCTCGACTGGAGCGTTCAAGCTAACAACCTGAAAAATCTAACTTATGTTACATCCAGTTGAAAGAAAAGCATTTCCCTGCACTAATGCACAAAGTACATGTTTCCCTGCACAAATGCACAGTGCTTTTACCTTGAGCACATTTTTGACAAACAGAATGTTATTTTTGCTAAAATTTAAAACATCTGTTGACATTGCAATGTTTGTTTTATTATAATATTTTTGTAATAGCATATTTTACCCCACGTCTGACCTCCTTGTGATAATTAAAATTTGTATGGACTCTCTCCTCAGGTCAGCCAGGCTCTTGTCTCCCTCGCTTCAGCACCATCCCATTCCTTTACTGTTCTCCAAACGAGGTGTGTTATTACGCCAGCCGCAATGATAAGTCCTATTGGCTCTCCACCACCGCCCCCATCCCCATGATGCCTGTGGCTGAAGACCAGATACGGCCCTACATCAGCAGGTATGCTGAGAGAAGAGGATGAGAAAATAAATTAATCATTATATATTTATTCAAGCTTTATTTAGCCAGAGATATTTAAAACAACATTTTTAGCACACATTTGCCTATTATACATTGGTTATCAGATATATTGCTCAAACTGGACTTTTTGGCGCATTTAATACTGCAAAATGATCAGAGCTTGTATTCCAATTAATTCAAAGAGTCGAACAAAAACTACACATTGTGTGTGTATGTGTGTGTGTGTTTTGTACATACCTGTATTATTGTAAATAGATGAAAAATACAGACCTAATCTGTCCCTCTCCTCAGATGTGCGGTGTGTGAAGCTCCGTCCCAGGCTGTGGCGGTCCACAGTCAGGACACCACCATCCCCAACTGCCCCGCGGGCTGGAGGAGTCTCTGGATCGGATACTCGTTCCTCATGGTAAGACACTAAAATAAATAAATATAGTATATAGTAATATAGTTATAGTATTACTATAAATACTAAGACTATTGGCTAATACTAAGACTATTGACTTGATACCCGATACCACGATTATAATAAAAGCACTTTTTATTTAGACAATAGAAGATGATTTTCAACATTAAATCATAGTACTTTCCCATGTGGTCTTATATCTGTGTAATCCCTCAGTCGTCCAGGTATGTTCCATAATGGTCCATGGGTTTATACTAGTCTGTGCTCTTTGTTCTGATACAGCTTAAGATCATACTAAAGATATTCAGGAATTTCGGTCCTGTGGATGTGACTTTCTTTAGTAACAATACCTGCTCCAATGAGTATCTAGTTTCAATCGATCAGTTAATATCTGATTTTGAATACTTTTGACAACACTTGTGCTCACATTAAAAATAAAATCTGAAAACTAACTACTTACTTGCATCAGTATGAATGAATAATATGAAACAAAGATCCATGACTAACCCCACATGTTTCCCCCCACCCGTAGCACACCGCAGCTGGGGCAGAGGGTGGCGGGCAGTCCCTGGTCTCTCCTGGCTCATGTCTGGAGGACTTCCGGGCGACGCCTTTTATTGAATGCAATGGGGGCAAAGGGACGTGCCATTACTTCGCCAACAAGTACAGCTTCTGGCTCACCACGGTGGACCCCCGAGAGGAGTTTATCTTCTCTCCCAACCCGGACACTCTGAAGGGAGGGCAGGAGCGCTCCAAGGTTAGTCGCTGTCAAGTCTGCAGCAAGATCTTGTAGTACCGGGAGCGACCACACGGGGGAGACGTTCAAGAACAAAGTGACTGAAAATGGCGGACATCTTTGGCAGTGATGATGTTTGTGATGATGTTTGCCATGAGGAGTGAATGGGAGAAAAGAATTCAATATGAGAAAAGTTACACTGCAAAAAGAGAGATGTTAGTTAAAATGACTGAAATTCTAATATTTGTTTTGTTTTGTAATAGTTTTGACAGTATACATGTGGTCTTCTGATAAAACTGTAGATAAAACTGTTCAAGAAAGGTCAAATTTTATCCAGTTATGTGATTTTTTTTTTTTTTTTTTTTTTTTTTTTAGTATCAATACCTACTCAAATGACTATCTACCATAATTTTTAAAGAAATGAATCTTCCTGGATGGGAGGCAATTATATTCCATTGGTAGATAACTACCAAATAACAAGTGCATTATAATCTAACTTTTTTGGAGAAAGTTCTGCCACCTGCATGTCTCCATAGAAATCTTGTAAGGTTCCACATTATGGCACAGTATTCATTTATTTAATTACAGGAGTTTTTATTGCAAAGGAAATACCTGAAAAAACATGCGTTCTTTGTTGTGGCTTGTCTTCATGGAGTTTCATGTCATATTGCGGAACATTTTAGGCAAAAAAATAACATCTCCATGAATACAAGATGGTGGCAAACCCTCAACTAGAAAATGTGCGTAGTGAAACTTAAACTCAATCTAACCACTTAAAGTCAAGATACTGAATTCAAGTCATTTTAACTAATGAGCTTTCAGTTTTCGCAGTGAATGTGACTTGTCTCGATTATCACTGACGATGGTGCTATTGTTTTAAATGTCTTAAATGTGTATAATTTTGTGTTTCCTTTTTGGTTTTTGGCGAGCCTCATTCTCGGCTACCTCGGAGAGTGTCACCCCTTTCACGTAGCACTGTATCACTCACATACACTTTACATCAGACCAGCCACTACTTCTTATATCAGTCTGTTTAATTCAAAGTAGATGTTGTAGTGTTAGTCTATCTTGAGACTAAGCACTACATTTGCTTTTTTTCACTTCTAAACTGTGTGTATGATGTTTAAAAATACATTTCAGTAGTGTCAACTCATTTGCCTAGACCAATAATGGAGCTATTAATACAAGAAATAAGTGTGCAAAACATGAGGCCCTGATATTTAGCTTAAAGGTTCACTATGGAACTTTTTTGTTGAAGGATCCCCTACATGCTTGTGTCCATGGAGATGTTATTGTTTTGTCTGCAGTGTTCCACGATATAGCATTAGTATGGCACTGATATATCTTATATTTATTCAATTACAGGTGTTTTTATTGCTCAAAAAAACCAAAAACATTCTTCTTACTGTGAGCGGGGTTGCCTCTCCACAGATCTGACCTATAACTATTGGCACCATCTGTTTGTTTTCATAGAGATAGATAGGAAAGACATAAGTATAATACCAAACTGTGGAACATTTCTGGCAAAATATATAAAATACTGCATATTTTATAGATCTCCAAGGACACAAGTAGGTGGCAGAACCTCCACCAGAAAAGTTACATGAAGTTGAATAAGTTGAAATAATTTGTTGAAATTTATCTTATAATTTGATCATTGGTCTATTATATCTTAAAATGGCACCAATCCATATTTTCTACTAGGTTTTATATGGGTATTTTTGTATCAAACTATTTCTGTCAGTAAGCAGTTATTTTTGTAATTTTTTATTCTGATTTCTGATTCTGATAATTCTACAACTCATCTTTTTACCAGTTCAGTATTTTTGCCAAATTTGGTGCTACATCTACCACCAACTGCAAGCACTTTCCTGCCTAAACCTTCTGTCACAGTCTGTCGAATGGGACCAAACCATTCTAACTATTGCACTGAGGTGAACTGCTACTAAGTCAATTACCACACACCACTTTTTCACCTTTTCTTTGAGATTTACAGAATGTTGTTTTGTTTTATTCCAACAAGAATCAAGAAGGATGCTTTTCATGCAACTCATTTCACCCATTTTCAATTGTCTGTTATTGCTGTACATAAAGCTTGAAAAAACATTATATTTGAACAAAAATATGTGACGTTCAAGTACAATTGTAAACTTGGGGATTTCCTGTTTTTCTCTTGTGGATATTAATACAGATTTGAATTTGCATGTTGTTGGAGATTATAACCACTACGACCACTGCGTCTCACCTCTCTGCTGGTAGCCCCACTTACTTCCTTAGTTTTATTTTCATTTTGTCTGCATATGTTGTTTTTGTAATCTAGATTGTAATTATTTTACCTAAGTTCTAATACTTTCATATATAACAGAGAGGGTGGGAAAAGAATATGATTTGTACATTAAATATTTTAATGAAATGTCTTTAGGATAATGTTTTATATGGAGAGTATAGCCTGATCATTTACACATGTCAAAACAGTCTAGTGTATTTTTGGTGTTAGCTTTATGTTCAAAACCAAAACATCTGGAAGTGCCTGGAGTAACAAAGTATTCCTCAAATGTTTTCCTCAAAGAGGATCAATGATAAAAAGTAATAAATAAAGCTGTAACATGATACTGTAATATGTATCTATGTGCCCACATTCAAAATAAAGTCTAAGAAAATTAACTACGTGTGTAATGTTTCTTTCAAGGCTGGTAGTTTTTTTGATACATTTAATTAATATATCTTTGTAAATTTTCCAGTGCACAAAACTGTTAATTGACAAGATAAAGGAGAATAAAATGAATGTGAACATTTATACTACAAAGTGCTCTTTGGTGAAATGATATAACTATCAACACAGTGTCTCTAAGTTGGGAGTTTTGGAGTATTTACATGATAATATAACTGTTACTTAGTAACTATTGTATACACTGGGACAAAACATATTTCTTGTGTGCAGAACTAATCCCATGTGCTTCCAAACACTCTTCCTGCTTCTTGTAATTTTTTAGAATGTATTTTTAAAACTTTTCCTCACAAATTGCTTCTAATTTATATCCGAATGACTGTTTGTCTATATTTATATCCCACCAAATTAAGTAAAAATTGTAGAATCATAAAAACCTGCCATACACAAAATGTATTAGTTAAAGTTCGACTATTAGACAAATGTAATGTAAAATTTCAGAAATATAATTTTATCATCTAATTTATTTGGAAGTTTATAAGGTTTTCCCATTTTAATTAATAATAAACCATAGGCCTGTATCCTACTCAATATCCAATATTCAGGCCTTCAAAACAACATCCACAATATCAGATATATTTTGATATTCTGGGCATTTCTGCCTGAGAGACTGCCCTGGCCCGTGACGTCTGCTGTAGTACCTCTCATTCACCTGTAGGTGTATCCTCAGCTCCACTGTTCACTGCAACGACGTCCATCCACCACGAAGAAACGTGCAGAAACAAAACAAACCAGCGGAGATCTTTTTCTTCTGATCTGGGCCCTTTACTTTAAACAGGTGAAAAAGACTCACGGCTTCATAAAAAGTCTGATGAACGGCTCTTTTTAGCGGAGATCTGATCAGAGTGTCAACAGAGCGTTTTTGTGGTGTGTGGTGTTAGCATAGAGGCTAGCCTGTATGTTAGCCGCTCTCTGCGTTACAAAACGCTGAAAACATAGAAAGGAAATAAACACTGTAACATAAATGTGATTAATGATTATAGATTACTGTTTTCTTCTAGTATATTTGAAACTGTCATGTTTATCCTATTATAAGATAAATGGAGAGTTTTCACAAGCTAACTGCTAACTACTTCATGTTATACCTAATACAATGTACTTAGTAGGTTAGAAATTATGTTTTCGTATAACATTTAATGATCTTTTTCATTGCTCTGTATTGTTTTACTGCTACAAAGAAAGAAAATGAAAGAAAAAAAATGAAATTAGTAAATACCCTAAGCATTGTACATTCAGCAAAGATATTTGTCTTCATTGCTTGAGAAATAAATCCACTCACTAGCAGTTTTCGAAATTTCAGCGTTTTAGAAGTTTTAGAAGTTTCAGCGTTTTTCATTGTATTTTCAGCGTTTATCATTGTATTGGGAGTGACTGTACAGCTGAATCTGCCTTTTCACTTATGAAGATGCTGTTTACTACTAGGGGTGTGCAAAAAATATCAAAATATCAATATATATCGTATCGTTTGTGATACTGTATCCTGTGATGATACAGTATTGACATTGTGGGCTGCTGTATTGATATATCGCCAAGAGTATTTTTTTGGTACATTTTATGAAATTATTTTGTTACAGTGCTACAGTTTTATTTTTTGTTTAGAGGAAGGAAACTCGTTTATGCAATACATTTGACATTTTCACTGTTTTGATGATTAAAATGGGTGTGTTTCATATTCACTTTGCACAAGAGGTGGTGTAACAGACTTGTAGTATCACAGCCATCACTCATATCAAATTGATTTGAGATATATCGTACTGAATCGTATCGAATCGAAAGGTCAATGTATTGAGATATGTATCGTATCATGGCCCATGTACCGAGGTTTGTATCGTATTGGCAGCTTCTTAATGATACCAGCCTTATTTACTAGTACTTATCTATATAAAGAATAGCTTTGCACAAGATCCTTATAAGTATGACTTTCTCCCACCCCTTTCACCTCCCTTTTAGTCAGTTAATTGCCTACAGCCCCAAACATTAGTGAGTGAAACAAATGCATTGAGAATGAACTGATAAGCATAGCTTATTTTTGGTAAAATACAAACTTCACCTTTAACTCCTCTCCTCTTCTTCTCTCTGCAGTTACGCTGGACTTTTCTGACACACGCTCAGACATGTCCTATGTCTTCATCAATGACTCGTCCCAGACTGCGGTGCCTCTGCTGCAGGCTTGTATCGACGGGGACTTACCCTTTGCCAAGAGGCTCTTGGAGACGGGCTGTGACCCGAACATCAGGGACAACCGCGGGCGCACCGGGCTGCACCTCGCCGCCGCCCGGGGCAACGTGGAGATATGCCGACTTCTGCACAAGTTTGGGGCCGATCTCCTAGCAACAGATTACCAAGGCAACACAGCCCTGCATCTGTGCGGACATGTTGATACCATACAGTTTCTGGTGTCCAATGGGCTCAAGATTGATATCTGGTAAGATTGTAAGCAGAAGCATTATGTTCTTTTGTGGGTTTGCCTGTTCTTCTCATGTATGGGTGGGTAGGCACTGATCGGTTTTCCCCATCAACCCAAAACATGCACCATATGTACAATTCTCCAGCTAATGTCATCCTGACCAGCGAAAAGATCATGGAGATGGGTCCCACTGCTCCTAATGAGGCATTGAAGGGTGGGTCCAATGCAAAGGACAAATTTCCCCTATCCTAACCAAACATGATACAGACATTGATGTAATTTTATTTGTCCTTAAGGAGTCCATGGTTGTAAAGGTTTCAAAGTATTTAGTTCAGTATATGTTTTTTGAAAAACATTGTTCAGACCTTTAAAACCATTTCTACTGTAATAGCACAGTATGTTTATTTTGTAAGAATTTATACCTTGCTGGAGATAAACATAATTTGAATACAAAGTTTTACTACAGCATTTTTAAATATATTTTACTACAGTATTTCACAAACCTTGTTCCTATGCTAAACAATTGAGGTAATTCTGTCATTTGTTTTAGAAAATATAAAAAACTTTAACACAAAATCATGATACATTTTTAAGTGATAGTTGAAAAGTGCTATGCTAGACAGTCATTGACCAGAAGAGATGTGACGATTATGTCTCTGTGCAGTAATCACAATGGCTCAACGCCGCTGGTTTTGGCGAAGCGTCGCGGTGTGAACAAAGATGCCATCCGTCTGCTGGAGGGTCTAGAGGAACAGGAAGTGAAGGGCTTCAAACCGCGGAGCTCACTCCAAACTAGAGACCATGCAGATGGCCGACAGCGAGAGGTAAGAGAAGAGTCCTCTGCAGCTGATCACAGATAAAAACAGAAATCTTTGACAAACAGAGTAAATAAAACCTTTAGAACCCCTCACTCACTATTTGATATATTCTCAATACTATTTTTGGAAATTAAGCAGGGTCAGGTGTGGTTAGTGCTTGGATGGGAGACGCTGTGCATACCAGGTGCCACGAGGGGGCAGCAGTGGATCTAATGGAAACTGCACGAATGTATTAGGGTTGGTGGTGAAAGAGGCCGATGGCGCAGCTTTTTATTATGGAGAGAATGTATATTGCCTTATAAATCTAAAGCATTTTAATGTATTGTTACCACATGTTTGAAAGTGGTTATGAAGTTTACTACTGTACGGCCATGTTTTCTATTCTAATTTATGCAACAAATGATATGATTCATTTTAATTAATGTCATAGCCCTGAATGATATACTAGTGCACCCCCCCAACTCACCTTGTAGTTGCTAGAATAGGATCCAGAAGAAACTCTGTAACCAAAAAATGTTTTCATCAATAATATAGTTCTAGGCTTGCCTTCACTTTATACGCCACTCCACTCTTTTATCTCTTAAATGTAACAGACCATAGTGTAACATTGAGGGTATTCCATCAAAGTTGCTTAACAAGTCCAGATTCATCCTGAAATCCAGATAGAGGTGGAAATGAACTCCGTCTCCATCTTAAGCCTCAAGTCGTTCCAGGGTAGAAAGACATCTGAGTCTGACCGACCAAAGGTAATTCAGGCCTGAAGTTTAAGCTGCACTTTGTGCATGCTCCTGGTGATTCTGGCAAGGGCAGATCAATGGAGCAACGACATCACACAGACTTTTCTATAGTTTGTGCCTTTTTGATGAGTGCAGCGACCACAGACACGAGTGTCCTGTGCATAGACGTTTATGGGCTGTAAAAGTCTTAAGGGACAAAACTACAAAAGTCACTTTTTGAACTGTATCAGACAGAGACAAGTGCTCTAACACAGGTGTGTGAGTGCACATGGTGAAACATTTGACTCAACTGTTTCCTTAGACCAGGGGTCATAAAATAAGGCCCGCAGGCCGACTCTGACTCGCCACACCCCTTTGATCGGCCCACCAGTCCCTCTTCCCCCTCCAGTTGAACTGGCCATATGAGGCAAATGTTAAAAGTTGTCATGGCCTATTTTTTTTTATTCTTCATCTTGTATTTAGTTGATTTTTTTTTTTTCAATTAAAAAAAGATATTTTTGTGAAGTTTTTATATTTATATTTGATGAACGTATTTACATTTGCTGCCAAATTTGCAGCTGAATTTTCATCACCTAAAAAGCTCGACATCAAACAGTGACAGTCAACGCACATGCAGAGTTCTGTAGTGCAGTTAATGTCAACCTTTCATACATAACACTTGCCAGAGAGTGCCAAGTTTTCAAAGAACAGTGGATGACCAATTATTTTTTTGTTCGGTGTAAGGACTGTGCAGTTTGATGTGTAAAGAAAGTGTGGCTGTTTTCAAAGAATATAATCTGCGTCGTGAGGGTCATACAATTCTTAAGTTATATATAAGTTATACGGCCTTAGCTAAAATAATCTTGACAGTTAAAAGATGTTAAAAAAAAACAAGGCACTCACTGGTTCAAAATAAAATGCCTTTATTAGTTTACAGCATGTCTTAATGGACAACTTAAAAAGTCCCGACGCGTTTCAGCCTATGGCTTTCCTCAGGGGACAAACCGCCCTGTCCCCTGACAGTGAACCAGTGGGTGCCTTGGGTTTTTTTGCATCTTTGTACTGACTTCCCTTCCCAAAGAGCACCACTGAGTTGGATCTACTGTGTATTATCCTCTGGAGGTCCAGGAAGCGCTTCTTCTGAAACATTTTTTAATCTTGACAGTTAGCCCGAGCCCAGTCCTGACCAGGTTTGTTTCCGGGTGCTTGTTACTGCAGCAAACACAGCCCCTCCTCTGGTTAGTCACTTTGGTAGAACTGAAGTGAGTCTTTGATAAGCCTGGATTGCCCAAATAAGTCAGGCTTTCACTTTAAATCGCTTCATGGAAGACCCCATTGTTCAGTACAAATCATATATTTCTTCTTGCAGTGCGATGGAGAGCCACTCGCTCCTGAATCCAAACCTGCAGAGCACACAGAGGGCGTGCTGTCTAGTTTCCGCACCACATGGCAGGAGTTTGTGGAGGACCTGGGCTTCTGGAGAGTTCTGCTTTTGCTCGTCGTCATAGCACTGCTGTCTCTGGGCATCGCCTACTATGTCAGCGGAGTCCTGCCATTCTCCACCAGCCAGCTTGAGCTCGTGCACTAAGACTACACCCACACCACCCACAGGACAGTACAAGACAATACACAGTTTAACACTACCAGACAAAGGTTTGGACACACTTTTTCATTTATGTTGTTTCTCTTTTTTGTCATTTTATTTTTATTGACGGTTTTACAAAATAGTAAAAGAACAACAAGTGCAGTTGGAGGTATACTAGTACATGCATAGACAGAGCAGCACAAACCATTCACTAGACTTCGTTTGCTTTGATCACAGTGGCCAATTGACACTTCTAGATTCAATTTCAGGGGACTTGAATATTAAATATAAAATATATTTAAAGTTTTTTCCTTTACTACATAATTCTTATATATTGCATCATATATTTGATGTCTTCTGTATGTATCTAAAGTGTCCAAACTTTTGACTGGTTGTGTACTTAATTATTGGGAGAAAGTCTGGTTACACTTTATAATAACTACTAATTAACTACTAACTAATCTTAATTAGCCTCAATAAAGCATGAAAAAAGACTTATCGGTAATTCATAATGAACAAATAGTTTATTAAGAATGACTGGCGCTTATTTAGGTTCAGATTTGTAACCCTAACCTTTAGATTAGCAGTATAGATTATGGGGATATGTAAGTAGTTACTAAATCTGAATCTTCTTAAAAGGTACATTTTGTATCTTTTCTGGTGGAGGGTCCGTCAAATGCTTTTCTCCATATACTGTAGATGTTATTGCTTTGTCTGTAATGTTTCACAGTATGGTCTTAAACCTCTCTATCCGTATGGAGACCAAACCAGACCAAGTTACAGGTCAGATCTGTGGAGAGGCAACCCTGCTCATTCAGAATGCCTGTTTTTCAAGGTATTTTTGAGCTATAAAACCACCTGCAATTTAATATATGTATGGTAGAGCTGTTTAAAGTCATACAGTGGAACATTCCAGGCAGAGCAATGACATATCCAGTGAAACAAGCAGGAGATGGACCCCAAACCAAAAGTAGTAGTGCACAATTTGTTCATTTTGAATTAAGTCTTTCTTCATGTTTTTTATTAAGACCAGTTGGGTGTAGGTATTATAAATGTCATAGAATGTCTACTATTTTCTCTCTGATTTGGTCATCTGTCACAAGGTCTTAGACTTGTTAGATTTAAAATAATGAGCTTGTACAGTAAAGGTATTTCCGGCTGCAAGTACAAATATTTCCAAGATTAAAGTTAACTTAAAATGAATCTTTAGATTTTTGTTATCTTGTGCTATGAGTGGGTTGCTTAGGCATATCAAGTAGTTATCAATGCATTTCCACTTTGGAGTAGCTGACAGGTTAAAGAAAAGCTGTTCTAATTTGGTGGTAGCAGCCTACTTCTGTTGTGGCTGAAGTGTGTTGCCCAGTGGCACAACATCAGTCCCCAATGCAGGAAATGGGGATCAAATTGGCAACCTTTGACGGGGTGGTAAATATATTTATAAACTGAGCTGTTGTTGCTCTAATATTATAATCTTTGTATGTAAACTAATAGGGTTAACAAACTTTCTCCATAGGTGCAATCATACTCTGTCCAGGTTTAGTCCAGGTTTAGTCCCACTTCAGTCTCAGTTTTGTAGTGGTTTCATGTCCAGAGGTGGGTAGTGTAGCCGAAAGTTGTACTTGAGTAATGTTACTTCAAAATAATATTACTCAAGTCGAAGTGCAAAGTAGTGGTCCAAGAAGTTAGAGTTAACTTAGAGTAACTGTCAGGACGTAAGATCTGATTTATAATTTAAAGTTAATGTAATTTGAATGACAAAACATTAAGCACACACAAAATCTGCTCTGAAATTTTCATCTCATTTCATTTTATCAACATAAAGCTTTTGTCACTTGTAGACTTACTCAAATAATTATACTGCTACTTAAATGAAAATATTACTCAAGTAGGAGTAAAAGTACGCTACTAGAAAAGAACTTTGAAAAAAACAGTTTCTTTAAAAAGTTACTCAAGTAAATGTAACTGAGTACTACCCACTTCTGATCACAGTAGTATTAGTAGTAGTAGTAGTAATCTCTGGAAATGTTCTCTTGTCATCTTCTCCAAACTTGACATATTAAAACAGTTAGCCACGTTCACATTCACACAAAACAGAAATGCTCTTTGTATATAAAAATGTATGATTGCCTCAGCTGACAGGAACAATTACTGTAATATGAAGTAACAGTCTTTCTATTGTCTCATTTGTATTGTATTATTTGTGATTAGTTAATTTTATCTGTTACAAGCTGTACATTGTCTATTGTAATCTATTTATCACTTATTTTCCATGTATTTTGTCTAATTTGCATATGACTTTTGCCTGTTAAAATGCTTTGTATAGGTTTGTTTGCATAATCCTGTGCCTTTTGAAGGACACGCTTCACCTGTGACATTCCTGCTTTAAGTCATGCAGTTTACCTTTGCAGCCGATCAATAATGAAAGACAGTGTTGTACATTTATTATTTTAATGTTCAATCTTAATTATAGGAACCTAATTTAACAAACAAATAAACTCTTCTAAAATTATCTGTATGTACTGACTCTTATTCTGCAACTTCATCATTGGATGCATGTGGTATGGTATTGGAGTATAGTTCCCAAAAGCTTGGTGCAATTTTATTATTGTTTCTTTAAAGATATAAGATATATGGCAAATATACAGCTCAAACTGTCAACTGTGTGTGTGTCTGTGTATCTGTGTATCTGTGTATAGAAAATGCACACACATTAATTTGCTTTACAGTTGTGTTGTGCATTTTTCATTCACTGGAAAGCTTCTGTTGTAGTCACAGCTGCCCTTGGTGGAAGTAAGGCTGCCAATCTGCGCCATTGCCCTGTTTGACCAAGACAAACACTCACACACCATAGTCATACAAAGTGCCTGTTACAGGTTAAACTACTCATTTTACTTAAACATTTATAATTTAAGTTTTTGCAAAAAAAAAATTTAAATCTCTCCTCACAGTCACACATGACACTTGCAAATGTTAGTTCCATCTACATAAGGACACAGAAGTTTGAAAACATGAAACAAAACTTTATTCATCATAATAAAATGTAAACACAGTCAAGTCTTATTGTACCATATCATTCCTTCCAGGTGACAACAATCCCTGTGTTTTCCATGTGTTACTTTCCATTTTCAAAACTAATAACAGTGAAATAATAATAAGAACACCTGCAATTGTTTTGTTTTTTTTGTTTGTTTTTTTTGAGCCAGGTCTCTCTCTCTCTCTGTTTGGTTGGGAGGTTGGTTATAGATAAGTTGGGGATCCCTATACACTTTGCATCAAGCAGATTTTCTTTGTTAGACACATTAGTTTATCAGTTGTTGCCACCCTTGTTGTATTGAGTTTTCCAAATTCTCCTTTTTAGATCAGGTAGGCTAGGCTTTTTGATTTCTTTCCTTTTGCAGCCAAGTTTTCAGTTAGGGCCTGTTTTGTTATATTTTTGGTTTGTTGATTTGGCACAACTGGCACATGCCTTCTCCCACCAACCTTTTGTTTGTTTTTTTACACGTATTGGTGAATGTTTGGCCTAAAAATAAAAAGTGCCAAACCTACTTGCCTCAAGGATTGTTTTATACTCGTTGTGTACCTTGTTGGGCATAGGGGACATAACATAACATATTTTTTTACTTTAAAGCTTTCAGGTCAAGATTCGTTTTATCAATCAAATAGTAAGAATCAATACAGCTACAGAGGAAATACGTAATAACACAGAAAGTACGGAGATAGTCCAGAGTGTGGGAGAGGGCGTGGCCTGCAAAGACAGAAATAGTGTTACTACATTTAATACAATATGTACATGTTAATGATCTGCATGGAACTACAGAGAAATATTCTAGAGTAACTTCTGGTGGAGGGTCAGTCAAATGCTATTTTCCATAAAGATGTTTTTGCTTTATCTGGAATATTTCACAGTATATACAGCATTAAATCTTTCTATCATCATGGAGACCGAACCAGACCAAGTTACAGGTTAGATCTGTGGAGAGGCAACCTCGCTCACAGTCAGAATGCCTGCTTTCTAGGTATTTTGGATGTGTAAAACCATTTGTAATTGAATAAATGTAAGGGTAGATCTGTTTAATGTCACACTATGGAACATTCCAGGCAGATCAATGACATTCATAGAAACAAGCATGTGATGGACCCTCAGCCAAAATGTTTCACAGTACACCTTCAAATAAACAAAAGAGAAACAGAAAGTGGTGGCCTTATTCAAAACCAAAGATGTGATTATGATCGCTGCACAAGCCATTTGAAATTATGATGTCATCAAACTTTAAAATTAGAACATAACCTAGTGTCGGAGGTGGGGAGCAATTAGTTACATTTACTTCAGTAACTTTTATAAAGAAATTGTACTATTCAGAGTATTTTTCTGGAAGCACACCTTTACTTCTATTTGAGAAATATGTTTATTGAAGTAACAGTACTCTTATTTGAGTAAAAGTTTTGGTTACTCTTCCAGCTGTGAGTAAATCTAAGTGGATTAAGGATTTGAACATTTGTGTTTTTTGCACTGCTCCTTCAGATATACTGTAGTTTTTCTAATTTTTGTGTCTATCCTTTGAAAATACCAGATTTTGTGCATTATTTTATGTTTTGTCCTTCAAATTACATTAAGTTCAAGTTCAAACCACTGTGTTTTTAAACTCTATACACCTTCACTAGAATCATTTGGATCATTTCAGCCCTGGAATTTCCTATCTCAGCTGAATTAAATGTAAAAGGTAGCTATTGAAAACTTTTTTTTTTTTTTTTTTTTTCAGAAACTTGGTTTCTGAGCTATGTTTTTGACAAAGTAACAACAGTCAATTTTGTGTAATAAAGAACCTTTAAGTTACTCTTATTTGAGTAGTTTTCCAAAATAATTGTTTACTTTTTACTTGCGTAAATTCTTGGACCACAACTTTGTACTTTCACTTGAGTAATATTATTTTTTAAGGAACATTACTCTTACAGTACCTGAGTACAAATTTTGACTTCTCTACCACATCTGCCTAATGTTTCATTAGTGCATAGATAAGTTCTGAATACTCACAGCATTGCTTTCCGTGATGAGAAGGCTCTGATTCCCATTTGCGTTACTGACCCTGAGTTGGAGTACGGTCTGGGTGTAGTACTTCTCAGAGGCCTGGACCTGACAGAAGAACTGATCCTGGTCTCGACTGTGGACAGACTGAAGGGTGAGGGACAGGTCTCCTCTGTTATAGGCATCCTGGGACATCTTCACTCTGCCTCTGAACCTTTCAGTGACAAAAAATATATATAATAATAATAATTAAAGGTCCTATATTACACAAACTGGATTCTTGTGAGCTTGTGAGCCTAAATGTACTTCAGGGGATATCCATGCCTGGGCACGGTTTGATTGGGTTACTGTGTGTGCGCTGTTAAACAAGTCTCTTACACATACAATTACAATCATACACTAACTAGCATTAGCCACAGTTTTTCACCTTTTTGTTGAAAATCAAACACCAAATCAGTACGACCATGAACGCTTGTATTGATCACAGGCTCTTGAAAATGTGTTGTTTAAATCTTTTCTGTGTTTTTTTCTTGAGTGTTCAACAATCTTGAAACTTTTTTTGTCAGTATGCAAATGTGTGTGTTGTGTCATTAGTTGTGAAGTTTCTGGTGGGACCTGGAAGTGACGTCACACTTAATAACTCTATATTCTCAGCCCTAATAATAATGCCGACATCAGTTTAATTATAAAATAGGCCTCACCTGTCTCCATAAAGTATCTTCTTGGGCTCAAATCTGTGTTCAATGACCAGCTCTGACCCTCTTTTCCAGCGCACACTCTTTATTGCTTCTTCTCTGGTTTTGAAGTAACATGGCAGCTTCACAGATCCTCCCAATGAGCAGCACATATCATATGGGACCAGAACCTTCAGCTGAAAGAGAGAGAACTTTTGAGCGGTCAAAAGAATAAAAAATCGGATACTAACCAATACCAAGACTAGAATCAAAACTAGATATTCATTTGAGCAGGTATTGATTCTAAAAAAGTCACATTCACAGGACAAAAATGTACTTTTCCATAACAGTATTAAAACGGTCTAGGACTTAGCTTTTTTTGAAAAGTCCCTTAATTTGAACAATGTGAAGAGTTAGAATCAGACCTTTTATTGTTTGGAAAATCCTATCTTGAACACAAACAATGTTGTTTAATAACTTCATTCCCTCTTCAGAGCACTATCACAACACAATCAGTGTTCATCCCACTAATTGTGAAGATGTAGTGTGTTGTTTTGTATCACATTTTTGTATATTTATGGAGAATAGTCATGTGGGAGCATGGGTGACATAGTCTTGCTGGCAGAGCTTTGGATAGGATTGTACAGATCATAATAAGGGTTCAAATAAGGCCGGGGAGAGATCACTAGGTTACTGAAACATGCACAGATGACATATACAATCATTTCAAGCATGTTTTTGATGACTCCTTTAATAAAATGGGTTAGTTATTGTTTTGTTACTGGATGCTTTACCTCAAGGACTTTTGCAATGGGACTACAGTTAAGTATATAGATTCCTTCGTCGTTGATCATCGCCTGTTTAAACTCTACGCCGCCCCCTGGAGTCAACCGATCTTCATAGCCAGACGCTGGAGACCACTGACCCTTTCTAAAAATGGCCACATGTTGAGGTGCGTGTTGAGGTGTTAGCTGGTGTTGAAGCAGAGACCCACTCGGGCATCGTTCTGGGTCAACCAGGGTCACTCTCTCCCCAACCAATGTCTCCACATAAGCTCCAGAACCTCCAGAAATGCAGCGCAGTAGAAACAACAACAACATCATGTAGGGGGTCCAGGCCTAAAACAAAATTACAAAACATGGCTATAAATTATGTTTAGAAAAAGGTTTGTGAATCAGATACTAATTGATGCAACTGAAACCGAAAATAGATACTCATTTGAGCAGGTATTCATACTAAGTTAAATCACAATCACAGGACAGAAATTAACCTTTTCTGAAAAGCTTTAGAATGATCTTGAGCTGTGTTACGAGCCAGGCCCTTGTGGGTTGTAGGGGAGGACTTGTTAGCTTTGTGCCCAGGTCTTCTGGCCTGCCCCTGTGATCAGCTTTGTTTTATGCACCACACTCACATCGCACATACACCATTTCCATTTGCATAGTACACACCAAACTACACTACTGTCTACAACATCAACATTATGTTGTGAATATTATTCGTATTACATATTTTGTAAATTAAAACCTTATTATGAGTATGTTAAACTTGGTATCATATCCCCTTTTTGTTGTGCACCTGAGCCAGGCATAACAAGCCGTATCACAACAAGTATAAAAGCACATAGACTAGTATAGACTAGTATACGCCCATGGACGACTATGGAACCTACCTGGACCATTGAGGGATTGCACAGATATAAGGCCACAAGGGAATATAAAAGAAAGTACTGACATTTAATGTTGAAAATCACATTCTATTTTAAAGAAAGTGTTTTTTGTTATCATTGTGGTGTCAGAATTGTCATGGAGTATTGAGTCTATTCCTTAGTGTTGAAATCGAGTCTGAAATTTTTGTACCACAACAGTGACAAGTGACTCTAAGATAAAGTTTTTTTTTTTTTTGCAATATTTTATTTTTGCATTTTGTTTGAGTTATACAATACACAACAAAAACATAGTTGAACGACAAAAACCCCATACCCACCCCGCTCACCCACAGAAAAAAAAAAAAAAAAGGGAAGATGCTTCTCACAACCACACATTTCAATAGTTCACATAGATACACAGAGGTCAGTTGAGGCGACGTTCATATAATCCAAGTAAGGCTGCCATATTCTAACAAAGGTGTTGTAAGCCTTTCTGAGGCTATAAGTGATCTTTTCCAAAGGCACACAGTTGTTCATTTCTGAGTACCATCTTGTAATGAGAGGGGGGGAATCAGACTTCCAGGTAACTGCAATGCATTTTCTTGCCACTGCCAATGAAATTTCTAAAAATTTTATTTTGTATTTATTTATTGATTCAATTTTCTCAAAATTTCCAAGTAGGCAAAATTCAGGATCAAGAGGTATTGAAGTTTTTGTGATTGTGGATATGGCTCGGCAAAAGTCAAACCAAAAAACTTTTTTTACTTTGACACATGTCCAGGTACAATGCAAAAATGAGCCCAATTCTACAGAACATCGGAAACATTGATCAGAAAAATCTGGTTTTGTCTTATGAATTTTTTGGGGGGTTAGATAAAACTGAAGGAAATTATAATGTATAAGTCTATATCGAGCATTGGTGGTGGCAGATAAACTTTCTTGACATAAATTCGACCAGATATTATCTTCAATTGTAGTGTTTAAGTCTGACTCCCACCTCTCCTTAGATCGATACAAGGCTGGTTTAGGACATTCATTTATCAACAAAGTTTACATCTTAGAAATACATTTTTAAGGTCCACCATCATGTAACAACCTTTCAAATGCTGTAAGTTTGGGCAATAATATAGTACGGCCCAGATTACTAGTAAGAAATGATCGTAGTTGAAAGTAACACATGAATGTATTATTTTGGTAAGCTGTATTTTTCTTTTAGTTTTTCAAAGGACATTAATGATCTTTTTTCAAAACAGTCCTCCAATATATGAACACCATTTTGGTGCCACGATTCCAAGATCTTGTTGTTTACAGTCAATGGAATAAGATTGTTTTGTCTCAATGGTGATTTTGGAGAAAGTCCAAACCGCTGGCCAACAGTCTTGTGTATGTCGTACCATAACTTTATAAAGTTGAGGAGAATAGGATTGTCAGTCTTTTTTGACAACACTTTGGAATTATATCTGTAAACAAAATCATGAAAACCATCATCTCTCAAAGAATGAAATGCAATATGAACCCAGGATGGAGACGTTTCCCTTTCAAACATAGAGAAGATGAATCGCCTTTGGGCTGCGAGGTAGTATTTTTTTTAAATTGGGGAATTGAAGCCCTCCTGACTGATAGTTCCATGTCAATATTTCTAAAGACCTTCTTGCCACTTTACCATTCCAAATGAAGCGCCTCACAATTGTGTCAAGTGTTCTAAAGAATGGTTGTGGTAGGGCTATTGGAAGTGACTGAAACAGATACTGCAACCTTGGCAAAAATGTTCATTTTAATGCAATTAATCCTCCCAGTCAGAGTGAGAGGCAGATTGGCCCATTTATGCAGGTCTTCTTCAATCCTTTTCACCAGCGGGCCATAATTTAACTTAAACAGATTTTTTAACTTGCCATCCAAATTTATACCAAGATATGTTATCCCTGTTGGAGTCCATTTGAATGAGACACCTTGACACTGAGAATAATTGAATTTTGTTAATGGAATAATGTCGCTTTTATCATAGTTGATCTTATATCCAGATACAGAGCCATATGTATTCAGTAAGTTTTGCAGTCTAATAAGAGATCGAGAAGGATCTGATATATATAGGATTACATCATCAGCCAATAGATTGATTTTATGAGCCGTGTCACCAACCATAAAGCCTTTTATATTTGGGTCCTGTCTAATCGCCTCTGCCAACGGCTCAATAGCCAATACAAAAAGCGCAGGAGACAATGGACAGCCCTGACGACTTGACCTGTTTAGTGGGAACGACGCAGAAATCAGCCCATTAGTAGTTATCCTAGCCTTTGGTTTATAGTACAGAGTTCTCACCCAGTCAGTAAAATGTTTTCCAAATCCAAATTTTGTCAAAACTTTGAATAAATAAGGCCATTCTAGCCTGTCAAAGGCCTTCTCTGCATCCAATGCCACCGCTACAGTAGGATCGGACCTAGTTTTTGCCAGATGAATTATGTTAAAAAGCCTGCTTAAATTGTTTGCGGATATACGCTTTTGAATAAAGCCACACTGGTCTGGATTAATTATTTTTGGTAGTACTTGACTGAGTCTGTTAGCCAACAATTTTGAAATCAATTTGTAGTCTGTATTCAGTAATGATATTGGCCTATAAGAGGCACATTTCAGTGGGTCTTTGTTTTTCTTATGTATTACTGTGATTATAGCTGTTGTAAAGGATTCCGGAAGTGTATGTGTTTTTGACGCTAAATTTGTCACATCCAAAATCAATGGAACAAGCAGGTCCTTAAATTCTTTATAAAATTCAGGTGGGAACCCATCCTCTCCTGGTGCCTTGTTTGACTGAAGTGAACTCAAGGCTTTAGTAATTTCTGTTTTTGTAAAAGGGAGATCCAGACACTGTCTATCCTCCTCACCAATCTCAGCTAAATTAACTGTGGACAAGAAGTTGTCAATATGAGTGAGGTCACCGGGAAGTTCTGATTGATACAGATTTGAATAAAATTTTTTAAACATATCGTTTATCTCAGTTGGGTTATAAGAGATTATTCCTGCTTCATTTTGAATAGCATTGATGGTCCTACTACTTTCCTCTGCTTTTAGCTGCCATGACAAAATTTTATGTGCTTTCTCTCCCAATTCATAATACTTTTGCTTTGATCTCAAAATATCCTTTTCGGCCCTGTATGTATTCAATGTATTATACTGAATCTTTTTCTGAACTAAAGATTGATAAGTGTCATTAGAGCCACTTCTTTGGAAATCTTTTTCAAAGTTTGCAATTTCCCGCTCTATATTTTCAATATCTGCTGTGAATTTCTTTTTCAGACCCTTAGTATAAGAGATGATTTGTCCCCTTAGGTAAGCTTTTAATGCGTCCCAGAAAAAATAAAACAATTGGGAGAGGAAGCACTGTTCGTTTCACAAAACAACTTTATATGACCTCTTATAAAGGAGCAGAAATCAGATCTCTTGAGCAGAGTAGGATTGAGACGCCATCTATAGGGTTGTTTAGGTATGTCGGGAAACAAAATGGACAAAGTTAATGGTGAATGGTCAGACAATATTCTGGGTAAATATTCTGTATCCAATACTCTATGAAATAGCTGGGAAGACAATAAAAATAGATCAATTCTGGTATGTGAGTTATGAGGGCTTGAATAAAATGAATAGTCTCGAGTCTGAGGGTGCATTTGCCGCCAAATATCTATTAAGTTTAGATCTTTCATATAAGTCAAAGTAATTTTGGCGGATTTTGATTTGGAGATTACAGTAGAGGATTTGTCCAATGCTGGATCTAAACAAAAGTTGAAGTCACCCCCGACTAATAAATTGTTCTTCCCTTCAGCAACTTTAAGGAGCATGTCTTGCATAAACACTTCGTCATCATAATTAGGCGCATATAAATTTAGAAGTGACCACTGTTCTGAAAAAATTCTACAGTTTGCAAAAACATATCGTCCTGAGGGATCAATAAAAGTATCAATCACTTCCAGAGGTGTATTTTTTTTCACAAGAATGGCCACTCCCCTGGCCTTTGAGTTAAAAGATGATGATATTACCTGGCCTACCCACTCCCTTTTCAATTTCTTATGTTCTTTACTAGTGAGGTGAGTTTCTTGAATGAAAGCAATATCTACATTAATTTTCTTCAAATAAGCCAGAACTCTTTTCCTTTTAATTGGACCATTCAAACCATTAACATTAAAACTGACAAATTTCAACACCCTATCCATAAAACTGTTTACGTTTCATATTTTCTTCATGACCTCTTAGAATATTACAATAAATGGGATATCTGTCAAATGAAAAGTAGTATTTTGTAGAGGGCAGAAGCATCCATAAAAATAAAAATAACAAAAATACCCCCAAAACAAAAACAAGGGTGAGCGCAAAACCCCGCAGTGCCAATTTCTGAACGTGAACTTGTGGCACAGTTCCCTTCATCTGGAACGGTCTTGTGTTCGTGAACAACTGTTAAGATCCTGAGATCTACTGCCCCTGGGAGGCTCTCCGTTAGGATAACATATATAGCATATAAGAAAACACTCTAAATACTCTTGAATATTATCGGTAAGATAATTACCTTAATGTCCAATGTGAAGCACATTATTATAAACTTAACACAAAGCATCGCCGCGCTCCTTCACCTACTGTAGCGATCCACAGTTTATCTGGTGTCTGCGTCTTTCAGAAACGCTGCTGCCTCTCTGGGTGATTTGAAGAATTTTCTTTTCCCGTCGGGAAGTGTTATCTTCAGAGTTGCAGGATGGATTAGAGAATATTGAATATTCCTGGATCGCAGCTCTTTTTTCACTTGGTCGTATTCCTTTCGGCGCTTCACCAAGCTGGCGCTCAGATCAGGGAAGAACATCAGTGGCCTGTTCTCGTACATTATGGGACCATCACCTTCTCTGGAGAGTTTCGCAGCGGCGCGGAGTATCTTCTCCCTTTCCTGATACTTCAGCAGCCGTATCAACACGGGTCTGGGTCTCTCGTCAGCGGATGGTCTCGGTGCGGATGTACGGTGAGCCCGCTCTATTATCAGCGGTTCGGCGAACTGCTCACGCCCCAAAGTGTTTGGTAGCCAGTTAGTAAAAAACGCGACCGGGTCATTTCCTTCACAGCCTTCACGTAGATTTAGGATGCGTATGTTGTACTGTGGTTTTCAAGTGACTCGACCTTCTCCAGTAAAAACAAGTTGTCTTTGCTTAACTTGGCCACCTGTGAGCCCATCTCCGCTAGCTGGTCCTCCGCTTCCCCAATGCGGGTCTCCGCCTCGTTTACGCGGGTGGTCAAACCATCAAGCACAGCCTTCAGCCCTGATATGGAATCGTTAATCTCTGTCGTCTTGATGTCTAGTTTGTCGCTCAGGGCCTGATTTCCAACACGTATCTCCTGGAGTACAAGTGCAATGTCCATAGGTAATGACGCGTGCTCATAAGCCATCTTGCTAGCGTCTTGATGCAGGTCGTCTTCGGACGGTGGATCGCTCACGTATGTGGAGTTAGCTTGCTTATTTTTCGATCTCAAATCCATTGTGCAGCTTATCAACGTAAACAGGTGTAGACCACCGCGATTGCAAAGTTGTATAAGTGTTTTCAAAGGAACTTTACCGGAGAGCCTCCAAACTAGCGTCTGTCTACCATCGCTGCATCACGTGACCCCGACTCTAAGATAAAGTTAGCAAATTATTAAAGTCTGTCGTCAGGTTAGTTGGGGCAAAGTCCTTATCTGACCTCTTCATGAAAATACTTCAATGTCCATGCTTTTATTTCATAAGTATCTTGTGGAGTTTTCATTTCTTGTTAGTGGAATCTTGTGTATTAACTGGTTCGACTGTGGCACGCTTTTTGATTTTATTTGAAACAGGTAAAATTTTGTTGTTCATTTTGACAGAAAGCTTTACTTGGCTGGAATTTATTAATTTTAATATATATTTTTTTTTATTTATTAGCAGTGTTGGGAAGTAGGTGAAAACTGAGAATACATATTACTAATACTAATTATGAGTAACTGTATTCTGGTACAGTTACTTTTTTATTTGGTGGTATTCAGAACACAGGTACTTTTAAAATCAAAGGAATAAATGACTGTATATGATCAAGTAATTTAGGCTTCAAACTGCACCGAATCAGAGCTCAGAAACAATTAAAATGTTGTTATTACTACTATGTTGCGTGTTTACTTTATAATTTAAAGGCTACTCGATGTAAAAGTATTCCAAGTATTCAGAATACAATATTGTGATTGGACCATGTATAAAATTATGAAATATATTTTAATGCAGGTATTTACATACTTTTCCATAGTTTTCTTCCATTCACTGACTATTAGCTTGAATATTCTTTGAGCTTGTTGGGGGAGGTAGGGACTTTCCACGATGAAAAAACGGAGCAACATCATTTTTGCTGTACAAAGTATATTAATATATAATCATTATTGTGTCTGAATGATCTGAAAGTCTGTATATGGCGTTTTTCATCAGTTTTCCATCAATCACTTATATGGCATATGTGGCATTCGCATTTAATAGTACTAACAGTGTGTCAGCAACAAGACATCAACAACAGTGCGCACTCAAAGAACTGCAACACTCTACATAATATATAATGTCAATATAAAAGGATATGAATGCGTACTGATAAAGTATAAACCGTGATGGACATCGTGCTACTTCTGATGCTTCACAGAAATAAATATATGGTACTCATACACCCTTTACAAACTCATACAACCAAATAAACTACAAACATGCACTATTTTATTCATCAAATACACGTGCAAATATATTAAAACATACAAACCCGAGCCATATTGTAGAGGTTCATGCGCGACATGTCTCCTTGTAGATTTGTTTGAGCAAAGTGAAAGCAGCTAAAGTGAAACTATCTTTAAATGAAATGCTGATGCACTGGTGGTTACGGGATGCTGACTGGATCGGATAGCATGAGGCAAAGACGTCAAGAGCGTTCCTTCAGCCTTTGACTCCACCTTTTATATCAACATTTTTATATCATCAACCCTTTTATCTCAACACATTTATATCAACACTTACCACAACTGAAATCACCCAATTACAACTGCCACCACCACCAATATCTATAAATAAGGTCACCCCCTAAAATGAGCCCCCTCCACCCGGTTTCCTCCAGCCCACACCCACTGGAGAGCTATGATAAACTCACAATAATCAAACTAAAACTCAAAAAAGCGGCAACCAACACTGAGCCTGTGAACATAGTGTGGTTAACATAAAATCAGTGTTGGGGAGTAACGGATTACATGTACCGCCGTTACGTAATCAGAGTACAAATTATGAGTAACTGTATTCCGTTACAGTTACTGTTTCAATGAGTGGTAATTGGATTACAGTTACTTTGCTGAAATAAGTGGATTACAAGGCGGTATTTTCCTGTTTTCACATTTTGTGCTACATCCCATTTATTTATTTTTTTATTTCGGTAATTCCACTCATTGCCGGAAACCCAAACAGAACGTGCGCAATAAGAGCGATGTAAACGTCATGTTAAAGTTGGCGGTGTCAGTCACACAGTGGAAGCAGCAGTGCATTGGTAAAAATGCATTTGTGTCTTGGAAATTCTTCTCCCGATGTGAGATATATATATAAAAAAAACTAATATAAAATCGCCTACAACTTAAATGTGAAACAGGAGCTACTGGCACCGGTGAAAACAACCTGCATAGACTCATAATATCTGCACTACTGTCCTATAATGACCTGCGACATGAGTGGACGTGCACACAAACACACACAAACACACACACAAACACACACCTTCATCATCGTCATCAACCTGAGAACCCGCGGACCACGTCTCCTTCCGTAGTTACAGCGCGGACACCGCCGTCTCGTGCGCCGCGTGTGGAACGTGTTTTCTCGCGTAAACCGCGCTTCCTCCTGTGCGCCTCTAAACCAGAACTAACACCAGGACTAAAACCAGGACTAACCCAGGACTAAACCAGGACTAAAGCAGGACTAAACCAGGACTAAACCAGGACTAATCCAGGACTAAACCAGGACTAAACCAGGACTAACCCAGGACTGAACCAGGACTAATCCAGGACTAAACCAGGACTAATCCAGGGCTAAACCAGGACTAAACCAGGACTAATCCAGGACTAAACCAGGACTAAACCAGGACTAACCCAGGACTGAACCAGGTTTAAACTAGGACTAAACCACGACTAAACCAGAACTAAAGACCTGGTCTAGACCTGGTCTAAACCAGGTCTAAAATCAGGAGTAAACCAGGTCTAAAAATCAGGACTAAACCAGGACTAAACCAGGTCTAAACAACATGACACGTAACAGTAGGTTGACATAATTTAAGGTGATCTCATATAAAAAATAACTTCTCTATCAATAATATTTTTTAATATGGTTAAGGAAAGGCTGATCTTGTTACTGTCTTTTAACAGACAAAACCTCTTATATTAAGATCTCGTGGTCTTTGTTTCTCTACAGCAAACAGTTGCTTATTCATGGAGACTTGGGCTCAGACAATTTGAAGACAACAAACATGAATTTTCAGGATGTGGTTGCTACATTCATGTCGTTTAAAAAACATGACAATATCAAGTAATCCAAAGTAATCAGATTACTTTATTCACTTTAAGTGATTTAATGGATTACGTTACAAACTACATTTTGGGGTGTGTAATCTGTAATCTGTAGGGGATTACATTTTAAAAGTAACCTTCCCAACACTGCATAAAATACAATCAAAATTAAACAATAAGGTAAGTTAAAAGCATACCTCTGATCTGGACTGTTAAAACCCTTAAAATTCTATTAACAAAAATTACAAATTTATTTTTTAACATAAATAAAATGTCAAAAAAAACAGCAATTGTTTGGCTCACCAGAAATAGCCATGTGTTAGGCCTGCTCAGGAAGAGTAAGTCACATGGTTCCCTCTGACCTTTATAGAGACCACTTGATCAGCTACCTTGCCACATATGATTTTTATGAACTATAGAGAGTTTTAAATTTTTTACACTGACTTTTAACTCAAGTTGATTTTCTGTAGTTTTATCAGTGGTCTCAATCTTGTTGTGTTTACTTGTGTTTTATACATATATTGCATTTTATCTGTTTTCTTAAGCACTTTGGGACAGTAGGCTAGTGTCTGTTTTTAAATGTGCTGTATAAATAAACCTTGACCTAAAAGACACCTCCTGTAGATTTACAAAATAAAGGTTCTATTAATTATGTTTTTCTTTTGCATCTTAAACTTCTTTTCACTGTAGACTTTCACTCTAGTCAGTGGTGTGGCGCCACATTTTGGGTAAAAAGCAACTATGTGGGCCCACTTTACATGATATCCAATGGAAAATGTATTGACTTTGGTGTTTTTTTTATAATGCACTGGGTTTGACTGATGTTATTATTCAATCGATCAATCAACAACTTTATTAATCCCAAAGGGCATTTCAGTTCATACATCTCTGGTCGTGCACAGTCCATAAATAATCAAATTAAAGAAAATTTAATATATACAACACACTCCATGCCTTCAAACCTCAGTGTATCATAGGACACAGCTGATTTCCTTTGAATTTAAAAGCTTTATGGCAGAAGGAATAAAAGATTTAGTGTAGTGGCTAGTCTTTTGCTGTGGGGTGACATATCATCTCCCAAAGGGCATTTGCACAAACTGTGAGCGCAGTACATGGTAGAACATGGTACATTTGGAGCACCCTATGTCTCCACACAGAGCCCAAATCTTCCATCTGTACACCACAGATTTTGCCACACACTTTTACTATCTGGTTCAGAATCTTCTTATATTTCACAGATAACCCATAAAACCAACAAATAAAAGAAAAAGTCAGCAAACTTCCATTAAAGGATTGATAAAAATTATTTAAAATGTTAGATGACACATTAAAAGAGCTGAGTTTTCGTATCAAGTCAACCCGCTGCTGTCCTCGTCTGATCATTTTCTCAATGATCTTATCAAGCTTGCAGTAATGCAACCTTCAAATGCATTAGTGGAAATATGATTCACTCGTCATATGAGAGGGGAAACCGCAAATAACCGGCCCTAGCTTTGTTGTGTAGAGCATGTCAGCTCAACATTTAAAGAACAAAGTAGTGGCCTAAACTGTGATGGACATCGTGCTACTTCTGATGCTAACAGAAATTAATATATGGTACTCGTACAGCCCTTACAAACTCACTCCTAACAGCATAAACTACAACAAAACAAAACGCCATTTTATGAAGAGGTTCATGCGCCTAACACTGCCATTTTGGTCTCACCAAAGTCAAGTGTACGCATGCTCGGTGTACGCAAATCGATGTACGTATGCATGCAATAGTAAATAAAAATTTACTGAAAATCATAATCATAAAAACAGAATCATAATCAGAATAAAAAAACAAAATAATGAAACTGGCATGGACAAAAATGATGGTAGCCTTAACTTAATATTCTGTTACACTGCTTGGAGATCGTCTTACTGTCTTTATCTTTAACCTGCTTGTCTATTATTTTCTTTCTAGTCTCCTGACACAGTTCTCTTCTTCTCTTTCTCTTGTCCATGTTCAGTGTTGTCTCCATCATGTCTCCAAACAGCACAATGACACATGTGTCCCTTTAAACAGGTAGACTTTGACATGTCCCTGTTGTCCAATTACTTAAATTTTTTTCCAGGCTAGTTTAATTAGTTTTTAGTGTTTTTTAAATAATTCTGTTGAACAATAATTCAAAAACAGTGACTGATTTTCATTGGTTATTTTTCAGGAATTTTTTTTTTTTTTTTTTTTTTTTTTTAAGTTGTGGATGACAGTTAAATCAATACAATTTCACATTTATCACTTGTTCATTGTTGTCACTGTCCATGGTGCTGAAATGTAAAATCCTGCATATTTACAAAATTAAAGCTTCAATTAATTACATTTTTCTTTTATCTGTTAAACTTCTTCATTTCCCTGACTTTCACTCTAGTACTTTATTTAGGCTACTTTATGATACTGCTGCTAGTTACATTACTACCAAACTGAGAAGCAACAACAATCATTCAATCACTCACCTTTTGGATGAATACAAGCAAGAGGAACAGTCTTACAATACAAAAAGACGTCAAAAAGTTTCTTTTCCATAGGCATGATTTGCTTGGAGCTGCATTGGAGCAGGTCTGTCATGTTTAAGAGTCTCTCTGTAATGGACTGGGTTTGGATGATTTCAAATGCATTACTAGAGTGATGTATCAATGAGAGTGGCGAGAGTGAAGCTGTTACCTGCATTAGCTTTGTTCGGAGAGCATTGTGGCTCAACATTTAAATCAGCACTGACTCTTGTGAGCTTTATAATGTAATGTGGCTGAGGAAAGGGGTTAAAGGAGGGGCAATTGATATTGCAGATTGGAATTTGAGAGTTCTAAGTTAAAGCAGCACTCACATGACCTCTGTGAGTGTTTGGCTTTGACTAGAAATGGTTTGGGGGCATCACTCAACTAATGTTGAGAAATATAACCAATACAATATACTCAGTTACCTAGGTTACTTAATTAATTAAGAATTAATTAAACAATTGATCTGAAGGTTTGTAAATTCTTGTCCATTTCAGTGACCCATATCTGGAATAACATCACTATTCACCAAAGCATGTTTATTGACCATGTTAAACAGACAGCATTTAATGATCAAATATGCAAATGAGTGTAGGTTGTTGTAAACCTGTGTCGAACGTCTGAGATTAGGTACAACTTTAAGGGTCATCTAAAGTTATGTGTTGAGTCTAAATTGATAATGTAAGCCATTCTGTGACAGTGCGCACACAACCCAGGGAGCGTGGAGATGTTCAGTCACCATGTGGTCCTGATAGGTCCAATGAAGGTTTAAGTTTCTCAGGATGTTGGCTCTGAAGAATCAAACACGATGATGAAACAGACGAA